AAAATGCAAGCGACACAGTGCTCCAGGGACACAATTAACAAGGTAATCCTGAACTATTTGTGTATTATTTATTATGTGTTAACTACTTCAACAAGAGGAGAAGAAAACCCCTTATATAAGGTCAACAGGAACCCTAATAGAAAGGAAATCAGAAAAGGAATGATTACTATTCTAGGTAGTAATCCTATCAAACTAACTAACTTTAACATCCTCTCCGTAAGCTGGATGGTGTATATTCACCAATCCAAGCTTAGAGATGATAGATTTGAACCGCATGCGATGAGGAAATTTTGTAAAGATGTCTATGAGTTGTTCTTCAGAGCGAATGAGAAGGAGATGAAGGAGATGAGGTTTAATCTTTTTACGAACAACATGACAATCGAGGTCGATGTATTTCGTCCTCTCATGGAAGCTTGGGTTATGGACGATGTGTCTAGCTGACTTATTGTCACAGTAGAGGGTAGTTGTGCTGAGGGTCAGAATGTTGAAGTCTTGTAAGAGATACTTATCCATTGTATCTCACAAACACTCACGACCAAAGCACGATACTCAACTTCAGTAGACGATCAAGAAACAGTCTGTTGTTTCTTTGATTTCCAGGAGATTAGGGAAGATCCAAGGAAAACACAAAAATTAGTGGTGGATCTTCTAGTATTGGGGCAAGTAGCCTAGTCTGAATCGTTGAATATTTTTATTTGGGCTTCAGAATTTGCGGCAAAGAAGAGTCATTGGGCAGGACTGGACTTTATGTACCTTAGGATATGCTGTAAAGCACGAAAATGATAATCAGTGGGATTCTTTAGGAATTGACTTAACAAATTAATAGAGAAGCACGAGTCAGGTCTTGTGTTGGTGAGGTAAAACAATTTCCCTATCAATCTGCGGTAAGAGCTGGGATTAGACAAAAATCTCTCTGTCTTGTATAAGGACTTTATGTCACTTAAAAAGGAAGTGGAAGAAGGTTTGATCCCCATCATTCTTGTCTCTTATAGGATATCCAGGGCATATTTTCTTTGGCATAAGTGGATCCCCTTCTTTGACCGAGCCACCTCAAATCCTAAAAGTATTTCAGCTCCCCAAGGTTTTTGATACGAAAGTTGTAGAAGACTCTTGATGTACTCTATCTCAGTCATTGAGTTCCCAGCCAATAGAATATCATATACATACACAAGAAGAACTGTGAAACTAGTGAGTGTTTTCTTAATAAACAGAGAGAGTGGTCAAACATAGATTGAGTATAATTGGCAGAAATAAGAAAGGTTGAGAGTTTCTCAAACCATTGCTTGCTAGCCTGTTTCAAGCCATATAATGATTTAGTTAAGCTGTAGACCTGTCCTGTTTTGTCAGTATTTAGTCCTGACGGCAGTTTCATGTAGACTTCTTCATCTAAGTCCCCATGTAGGAAAGCATTATCCATGTCTAGTTGATGTAGGAACCAAATCTGTGAGGCAACTAGTGCAAGCAAGAGTCTAACATTGGTTACTTTTGCCATTGGGGAGAAAGTGTCCAGAAAATCAATCCCTTCTTGTTGTGTGTAACCCTTAGCCACTAGGCGAGCTTTGTATCTTTCCACGGTCCCATCTGCCTTATGTTTGATTTTGTACACCCATTTATAGCCAATGAGAGTCTTTCCAGGAGGTAATTGTGTCAGGTACCATGTGTTGTTCTCTTGCAAAGCTTTGATTTCCCTCTCCACTTCATTTATCCAGTCAGGATTGGTCATGGCTTCAGCATATGTTCGGGGTTCAGAGTCACCAGATATAGTCAATGTGTACCTTAAGTTCTTTTCAGACAGAGATGCATAAGATAAGACCTTAGAAATAGGATAAGCAGTTTTTAATTTGTTTTTCTCCTTTAAGTTGTTAAAGGAAGAATTAACCTGGTGTACATAATCTTTCAAATATTCAGGGATTCTTCTCGTTCTTGTGGGTCTTCTATTATCCTGAGAAGTGAGAACACTGTCTCTATCATTGAACTCTTCTTCATGTTCAGCGTGTCCAGGGACCTATGTCTGACCAATGGTATTGTTGCAATCAGTGGGAACTTTATTCTGTGTGCCAGTATTGATGTGCTCACTCAGAAAGTCATTAGTTGATCATTATTCACTCTCCTCTCTAGGAGAGGCGTCATGTTTGTCGTTCAGATCCTTGTAAGGAAAAATATTTTCATAGAAAATAACATTTCTGCTTATGAAAATTTCTCTAGTGTTTACATCCACCACAATATATCTCTTCACACCATTTTTATATCTTAGAAAAACACCTTTCTTGGCTCTAGCAAAAAATTTATTCCTATTATTTTCTAAAGTAGAAGCAAAACAGACACAACCAAAGGTTTTTAAATTCAAATATGTAGGAGGGGCATTATAAAGTAAATCATAAGGTGTTTTACCTTTGAGAACAACAAACGGTAGTCTATTAATTAAGTAAACAACATGGGAAACAACAAATGACCAATAGGCTTTGGGAATGTTGGATTGAAAAATTAGGCTACGAGCCTTATTTAGAATATCTTGATGTTTCCTTTCCACAACAGAATTTTGTTGTGGAGTCTCCACACAACTTCTTTGATGTTCAATACCATGACTGTTATATAGGGCAGCAAAATCAAACTAAAGACCATTATCATACCTAATGGTCTTGATAGTCTTATTAAATTGGGTTTTAATTTTTAAAACAATGTTCTAAAGTAATTCTCTAGTTTGACTTTTTGCATTCATTAGAAAAACCCAAGTATGTTTGTTGTAATCATTAATTATAGTCAGAAAGTATATATTCCCATGAACAGAATGTATAGAAACAAGGCCCCATATGTCACAGTGTATCAAATCAAAACAATTGGCAGAATAGGAAACACTCTGTGAAAAAGGCAATTTATGTTGTTTGGCAAAATGACAAATATCACAAATAATTTGAGTAGGCATATCAACATAACGAAAATATTTATAGATTTGTTCAGTAGCTTTGAGTCCAGGGTGACCTAATCTATAATGCCACAAACTAATATCAACACGCCTAATTGTCTTCAAGGTAGTACTGTCCTGGATTTGAAAAAACTCAAGAGAGAAAATTAGTGTGTAGTTTAATTCTTTAGTTAATTTTTGCACATATATAAGGTTAAAAGAAAATTCTGGAATGTGTAACACATTGAAAAGAGTAAAATTCTTCGAAAAATTGATGGTTCCAACAAATTCTGCAGTAAGTAGACAGTTATTTGGCAATTTGACAGATATGAATTTTATTCTGTAGAAGGCTAGAAAATTATCTTTGTCATAAGTGACATGATCAGTGGAACCTGTGTCTATTATCCAAGGGAGATTACCTTGTTTTTCTCCAGGATTGTTTCTTTGAACTTGATTGATGTTGTGGGACTGTGATCCATTGTCACTGTTTTCCAGCATTTTCAAAATTTTCTGCATTTGTTCAGGGGTGAAAGTGTCGAGGGGTTTTTCAGTCCCAGTAGGTTTGGCAATGTTGGTTTCAACAGGGCTTGCAGGGGCTTCTTTACATGTGTTGGCATAACTCCATTGATTCTGACCATCCTTTTCTTGGTTTTGATTATCATTCTTTTTGTACCATGGTGGAAACCCATGCTTTTAGTAGCATTCATCTATGGTGTGGTTCATCTTATGGCAATAGGAGCATTGTTTGTCATAATTGGGGTTTCTCCCCCTTCCTCTTCCTTGATTGCTCATTCCATTACCCCTTCTTTCAGACTTCTGATCCTGCTTCCATTGGTCCTGTTTATCAGTAGTGTTGGCCATGATCTTGCTTTCTGTTTGGTTAGTGACCCCAACAATCTGTCTTTCTTGTTGCATGACAAGAGAAAAGACCTTGTTGATGTTAGGCAAAGGCTCCATTAATAGAATTTGTGTCTTTACAATGTTATAGGTGTCATTTAGACCCTTTAGGAAACAAATAACATGTTCAATTTCTCTATATTTAACAAAGACTTTTGACAAATCACAAGTACAAGGAGTATTGCACGTGCATAAAGGAATGAGTCTAAGATATTCAAGTTCTTCCCATAGAATTTTTAAATATGTAAAAAACTGGGTAATATTACGTTCACCTTGCTTTATGGAATGGATTTCTTGCAATAGGTCAGAAATCTTGAAGTAGTCTCATTTGGAGAATCTTCCCCTCAGTTTTTCCCAGAGTTCTTTAGCATCTTCAACATATATGACATTTTCTGTAATCTGGGTTGAAAGGGTCTTGATAATCTAAGACAGAACCATCATGTTGCATCTTTCCCATGCATCGTACAAAAGGTAATTTCTTTGCGGCCTTTTTATTTCTCCATCAATGAATTTCAATTTGTTTTTGAAGAGTATGGCTCTCTTCATATTCCTGCACTATGATGAGTAGTTAGACTCATTTAAAGTTTGAGAAATTAATACAAGACCTGGGTTTTCTTTAGGATGAAGGTAAAAAGGGTTAGAGGGATTTAAATATTGACCCAAGTTGTTGTTTTGTGCAGTGTTGGTGCTGGTTGAAATCTTCACTGGGCCAGTGACCAAGAAGATCAGCAAGATTGATGAGGATGATCATAGGAGGTTGCAGTAGAAGCGAAGGATTGCTCTTGATACCATAATGAGGGACTCATAGCTTTATATGTAAAATGAAGAGAAAAAAAAGGCCCCACGTGTGCTGAAAATGCAAGCGACACAATGCTCCAGGGACACGATTAATCAGGTAATCCTGAACTATCTGTGTATTATTTATTATGTGCTAACTATTTCAACAAGGGGAGAAGAAAACCCCTTATATAGGGTCAACAGGAACCTAATCGAAAGGGAAAACAGCAAAGGAACGATTATTACTCTAGGTAGTAATCCTAACAAACTAACTGACTTTAACAAAGTATGTAAGAACTTCAACCAGATTATTTAAAAAGGGATAAGAATAAGAATATTATATATATATATATATATATATATATATATATATTCAAGCTGTTATATTTGACTATTAGGGTTAATTCGCCCACGACAAGTGTTCATGAAAGTCACACAACAAGCCAAAAGGTTGAGTTTTTTTGTGTGTGTTCAGGTTCCAATTGGACAAGAGTTATGGGTAAAGGCAAGTAGGTTCCAATACCAATTTTGTTAATTAAAAACATGGAATTATGTTAAGACATGTAATTTCAATTTGATTGAAAACATCTTAACTCAGCCATATTGATTTGACCAAAACATTATCATGTTCATCAACACTTTGTTTAGATATTCTACATGTCTAAGTGTCGGCATTAGTTTGAAAAAGGAGAAAATATATGTCCCTCCCGTTGTTAAGCCACTAGTGACTTTGCCTCCCATTCGTGTCCCTCCCAAAGTGTCATACCCTCCCAAAGTGGTAGGCTTAGTGACAACACGTGTGAGTACAAATTTACAATTTATCTATTTATATAGATAAATTGATCACTAAATAGTATTATAAAATAATTGATGCATTTATTAAAGAAAGTATATCAATTATGATAGAAGTGGCTAGCACTATATAAAGGATTATAATCTTTACTTTTCCTACCAAAAAAAGCACAAATCATAAATCTATCCTGCAAAGAACAGACAGGGGAACCTCAAGTGAAACAAGGCAATTGCCTGTACTCATCTATGTATTATTGTTCTTCATAACCTTCATGTGTCTACAAATCACCTCTATCACTACCATATGTTTACAAGTCTCCCTATGTCTACAAGTCACCTCCACAAATTAATCAACCAAGTAGAACCAGTTTAAATTGTTTTCAATTAAAATTGAATAATTAGTAAAATATATAAACTAATCTTAGTAAATCATATGGTACTCACATTTAGGAAAAGACTCTCCAATAGTTTTCAGCTCTGATTTAACCAGCAAGTCGACACCGAACGAGTTCAACTCCGATTCACAATTGTTGGAGGAGCGAGTGGAGAAAGTTCAAGGGCAGAACGTGTCAAGAAAGGCGAGGGTTAGAGAAAGAGGTAAGGCGGGAGCAGGAAGTCACTGTGATTCAAGCGGTAACCTCCTTTAGTTGGATCAACAATTCAAGCGATAATTAGGGTTGAAGGACAGTGGAACATGGAGAAAGGAGAAAAGACCATTATTGTGGTTAGAAGGAATAATAACGCGAAGGAAGAAGAAATCTCTACAACTAAGATTGAAGGAAGAAGAAACATATAGTGGTTGAAGGAAGAAAAAACTTGTATAGTGGAACGTTGAGAAGAAAAAATCTCTAAGTTTTTTTCTATTTTGTATTTTAATAACTTCTTAAAATTTTAATTATTTTAAAAGTAATTAATTAAAAAATATTTTATTATTTTTCTATGAAAAATAATTAAAAAATTGAAAAAAAATATTATTTTTAAATTTTGCTGCCATTTTTTAAAATATTATTAAACCTTCTTTTACAAATTTAATTTATAAAAAAATGTAGGAAATGATTTGCATTCCTGCCAAATTTTTTACAAATGTATATTTGAAAAAAAAATTATATAATTGAAGAAAATTTCAGAGGAACTTCTTGCCATTAATTTTTGCAAAAAAATATTACATATTTCCTAAAAAGAATATTTTGCAAATAAATTTGTAATAATTTTGTGTGAAATATTATTTTTTTTAGAAAAAATTGTAACTATTTTTACCCAAAAGTTTTTACAGAAAAAATCATATGAATTTAATGTTTTTTTAGTAGTGGTGGAAGGAAGTTCCATACAAAGGAGGTTGAAAAGGTAGGTGTATAAAACTTAAAGAGAAGAAGGAGGAAGGGAGGAAGATGACAAAAATGAAGGAGCAATTTTTTTTTCTTTTTGTTTTTTTAAGAAAAATATTTCTATTAACACTTCTATTTACTAAACTTGCACTTCATTCTCATTGTTTTTTTTTATTATTATTTTGGCTCCACTCTACTTATCCTTCCATAATTTCATGTAATAAAATGATAAAAATATCCTTATATTCTTTCTATCTTTCCAATCCAATTTTGAACTTCCATACCTACACTTCCACACACCGCTACTTCTCCATATTATATCGCAATTTGTTGCACCTTCTTTGAAAACCTTCGTTTTCATTATTAGATTAGAAATTTGTTGTTAATTTTTACTTTAAATCATACTACATTTTATTATATCCAAAAATCCTTTTTTTCACGCATTTGCTGCATTTGTGGTGTTTTCTATTATTGAATTCAGAATACATCTTCGAAGGATACAATCCATAAATATTTTGGATTATAGACTAGTCTATCCAAAAATATATTTTTGGATTATTGAGTTCATAACATATTTTTAGAAAACATAATCTCGAAATGTGTTCCGGATCCAATAATTTGGATTACGTTCCAAAAAAACATAAATCGAAAATCTCTTTCCTCTCTTTTGAAGGACATGTTTGATTCAAGCATACAAGACCACGATCCAAGCACATAAGACCACAATTTAGCAAACAAGAGTCACAGTCACCCTTTTACTCATTATACTTGATTGCATGTTATGGAAACTCATATTAGTATATAAACACTTGAAAATATCTTTCCCAAAACAAAGTAGAACTTGAAGGAGACAGAAGATTAAAGAAAAGGAGCAATGATTAATACTTGTCTAAGCCTAGAAAGGGGTTGCACGGTGTCATAACATTTCTCTCAACCAAGCACCACCTCCTAGCATGTCTTCGGCCCATACATTAGCTAGAGGTCCAATCTTCTATTCTTGGTTATAATCATTAAGAGTATAAGACTATATAAACTCTTGAATGTACATAGAATAAAGGAATGTGAAACTTAAATTCATTTGAGAGCATATTTTTGGTTAGCATGTTAAAGGTCAGTTTAGTCCCACATCTCCTAAGATATCAAATGTTTGAGAGGGAAACAATTATATATATGACCACTTCCGTAACTTTTTGGGTACATTTGAATAAAATCAAGTTTAGTGTGTGAAACTTGTATAAATTGCTTGTACCTTGAAATTGTTTGTCTTCAGTGCCTTTGGGAGTTTTTTTTCCTAAATAAGGAACCTTCCTTAAGTGTTGTGAGTTTCTTTATAAACTTAGAAAAAAATTTTGATAACTCTTGGGTGTTCATGGTAGAAGGAGAAGGAATTTTCCATCAAAGTTGATGGCTATAAACCTTATAAATTCTAAGAGTGTTACACATAATATTATCTAATATTACAAACACAAGCCACACATAATATATATGTATATTCTAATCTTGACAAGGTTAATTTAATGTTTAATGCCCACCATTTACAAGAATATTTTCATCCCACCAACGTAGAATGAAGACCTATATTTTATATTCATGCAACAATGAATAAACCATAATATATATGTGTTGGTGGTATGGACAACCATCTTTCACGAAAACTACAATAAAATGGCAACTTAATAAATATTAACAATTTTTTATAAATTTATTTAGATATCAACATGTAAAATTAGTTATACCTTGTCAAAATGATTTTTATGAACATCACCAATATAAATAATATAATAGTTTTTAATATTAGTAGAAGATGAGTTATTAGTGGAAAAATAATAATACATTGTGTAAGTGATAAACATATGAGGATCACATTATATTGACTTGTAATAGCATATCTCATATCGGGAATAATCATCCACTTATTCATATTTGCTTAAAATTAATTAAATTATAGTCATACATTTTATAAAAGAAGAGGATAATTATAATTTACTTAATTGGTAATTGCCAAGTAAAATGTTTGATGCCCTAGGAAACATAATTGTAATTGCGTTTATTAACGTCGAAACCAAAATTTAAGGGGACAAATCAACTCATAAAAATAATATTTTAAACATTTCAAAAGCCCAAACAAAATTCTCTAATACATGCAATATCTAGAAAATATTTGTTACAATATTTGTACTCTCATCAAATATATGTTAGTGAATATATTTGTCTTGTTCCAATAACTTCATTAATTATTGCATTTTAGTTCTATGATATTTTATACTTATACAATATGTGTATCTTGCATTATATACTTGAGTTATAATTATCCTATTTTTCTTTCATTGTGCTCCTTAAAGATAAGTAAAATATTTTTAGACTTCACCAAACTCTTTGTAAATAAACAAGCATAAAGTTTTCATTACTTCATAATCTACCAGGAGATACACGACTTTCCAATATATCAACCACTACAAAAAAAATCTTATATTACTGACGAATATTTACCAACGGATATGTAGTCGTAAAAAAAAATAATTATCGACAGATGTAAAGCAGTTGGGAAATTTAGTCTTACCGACGGATATATCCGTCGATAAATGAACAATTAATTACTGATGAATATATCTGTCGGTAAATAAATAAATAATTATCGATGGATATATTCGATCGGTAAATTAATAATTTTGATAAATGGACAATTAAAAATGAATCATGCGAGCAATTAATCTAAAAATATATTATGAGGTATTTATAAATATTGTAGTGTTTGCTTTGTGCAAAAATAAATAAGAGATTTAGAATGATTTAGTATCTGAATTATCCACTTCTTAATCTAATAAATCCTTTAAAATAATAATAAATTATAAGAACAGTGGAAGGAAAGATGAGAAGGATTAAGGATATACAGGAAAAAAAGAAAGATAAGGAGGCACATGGAAGAAAATAGATCTAAGAGTAAAATGAAATTTAGTTTCAATATGGGTGCAAAAAGAATTAAGCCTTGTTTTCGTTTTGAGACCTCTGACTCAAGGCACAAATTATATTTTCACCCCCTCAATTTAAACACAATTACCAATCTATATTTTAAATCTAAAACCATATCACATAACACACTTAAACATATGTTAAATTTAATTTATCACTTTTTAATTAATTTATACACTTATCCTAATCATAAAAACAAGTATGTTACAATGACTTTTAAACTTTTATTTTTTTTAAACTAAAAATAAAAAAGTACCGTGTTTCATTACCCTTTATTTTTTATTTAGACTCTTTGGGTTAGTTAAAGAACATGGAATAAAAAAGAAGTGAAGCATAACATTAATTTATAAAAAAACGTTGACTATTCATAATCTTCTAGATATATTTAAATTGTGAGTAATCTTGGTCCAAGATTATAAATATAAGGGAAATGTTTATTTGATATCTCATTTGGTGACATATAATTCAATTAACAACCGTATTTATTAATATAATAATAATATTTATTATTATATTAATTTTTCGATTATCCATTAAATGTATCAGTTATCAAATAATCAAGTTTCTAAATATAATCCACACAAAGTAACTTTGCTGGAAATATGAGAATTATTATATATAATTGAGTGACAAAACTCAAACTGAAAATTATCCATCGATACCTATTAATTTCTTGCTAGGATAAAACTTTAAGATCTAGTTGACCACTTTAATGAAATTTGTAGTTTCAGAACTTTCTGTCTCTCTTTTCTTTCTTCTGCCTTCTTATTTCTACTCCATTAAATAATGCATGAAGAAAAACTGAATGGCCGCACGGAAACATTATCATGTAGTAACAAAAGAATCATATTCTAACTTGAAATCTGTATAATCATAATTATTCAAATAATCATATCACAGCTCTAAATTCAAAATTAACAACAGTAATTTCACGTGAAGCTTTGATAAGCACTGATGCAAGCTTAGATCTATTAAGACCCTAGAAGTCTACATGTACAGTAGTCTTATAGCTTGACGACATCACATGTCAAAGTCATGTAGATGCATGGCAGAGAGCATGAACCAAAGCCAATCATGACAAAGATAGAGTGGTACCATACAAGATTTGGGCCCTCATCATTGAATTCCATGGTCTCTACGGTACCGTCTCTTGATGCAAGTGTTTCCAATCCAGTTAGCCCTCAACTAAGCAAACGCCACTGTCATTTTTCTGGTACAGTGCACATGTACCCATCAAACCAACGTGAAGTACGTTTGTAACTTTTGGATTTATTTATGTTGTGAAGTAAAGAGATTTGCCTAGAGCATTGGTAGTTAGTAATAGTTGCATTAATTTTTTAGAGATCACAATTTCGAATTGATGTAGATATTAACAAAAGATAGCTATGTTCTGACAGATAATTTGGTGAAGAAATAAAAGTTAGGAACAGGAAGTTTCTTAAATGATCAACCTGAAAATGTTGAACTTTCACCTACCAATTTGTTTGGTATGAAGAGACTTTGCTGTACAAATATTTTGACTCTTTGAACAACATGTGCTTCTCGTTTTCTTTTTATGCTTCTTTGTCTTTGCGGGTATATTAGAAGCAACTTTGACAACTTCTTTCACCGATAAATTGAGCACGGCAAGTTGCGTAGATTATAGAGGTCATGCCGATGGAAGATGAAGTGATGAGTGAAGTGGCTGCTCTACCTCGTCGTGTTCTTCTTGTATCAGCTGGAGCCAGCCACAGTGTAGCACTTCTGAGTAAGCTTTTCTCTTTTTTTAGGATGTGTTGATTGTTGTTATTGGTTTGAATGAAGTTTTATATTGAGTTTTTTGAAAAGCTTGATGGATTTATGTTGTGCAAGGTTTTAGATTTTGTGTTGTTTTATATATATACTTTCTCCGTGCCTGAAGCTGAAGGTCCCCACTTAATCCATCAGTTTATTTGTGGCGTCTGGATTTTGTTTTCTATGGTCCCAATGAATAGAAAGTTTTATATTTTGTGGAGTTTATATATGACTCTTCTGTTATTTGGTGTATGCTGCGTGCCTGCATGTACCTGGGCAGATTTCATCTTATAGCCAATTGATACTAAACAAAGTAACTCAACATATATTACAAACCCAATTCCAAAAATTGAGGTAGGTTTCTTAACATCGTTTGATATTGCATTGTGTTGAACTACTGGAATGTGGTTAAATGAGGTGTTTAATGGTAGTACTTTATGATCTTTGCATCTGGGTCCCCTTCACATCCAGTATGTTGGATTTTTAAATCCTTGTAAGCTGTAGAACTGCTTCATTAAATAAATGCAACTTCTAGTGCAAACTTCAACTCTTCTTTTTCATCTTCGTGTATCCATGTCCTATACACTCTTATTAATTTTATCAATTTGTCTTGTTGAATTCTCATATCATCTCAATATGTTCCTAGGTATGCCTTGTGTAATGTTTTCTTCTCAATTTTTGTTCTTCTAAAAGGTGGAAATGTTGTTTGCTCGTGGGGACGAGGAGAGGATGGACAGTTAGGCCATGGTGACACTGATGATCGACTATTGCCCACAAAACTCAGTGCATTGGATAGTCAAGACATAATATGTGTTACTTGTGGAGCTGATCATACTATGGCACGTTCTGAGTCTGGCAGGAACGTATACAGTTGGGGATGGTACTAAATATGCTCTTCATCTTAACTATCTTTTGGCTACTGTGACTAAAAACTAATAACTTTAGCTGTTGATTTAGAATGTTTGTTCTGACTTAGTTTTGGAAGTAATAGCTATTCTAATTTTTTGACCATGTAATCTTGTGTTGTTTTCTACTAACCGTCAGTTTTTGACACTTCTGAAAAAGAGTCTTCTGAAATGTGCTTTACCGTTCACATTAATGTCTGTGATATTTGTTATGTTCTAAAGTAGATCGTACTATGGCTTTCCAGGGGTGACTTTGGTAGGTTGGGTCATGGTGACCATAGTGACATGTTCATTCCTCATCCCATTAGAGCATTACAAGGTCTAATGATCCAACAAATTGCTTGTGGGGACAGTCATTGTTTGGCAGTTACCACGGACAGCCTGGTGCTGAGGTTTGTAGATAACCAGTCTTTTGTGTATACTGACATGTTTTTTCCATGTGCTGATTCTTGGACACATCTTCATTTCATTCTTCTCTCGTTTGTTTACTCAGACAATATATGAAGATCTTTTTCACATTAATTTATGCAGTCAGAACTTGTTTTATGATGTCCATTTATTTTTAGGACACACTATTTTTCTTACTCGTGTATCTGTTAAAAAGCATTTCTCACCAAAATTCTCCTTTTATGGTTTGGCTCTGCTACCTTGGTAAAAGAAAAATGTTGTTTTATTTATTTTTTAGGTGACCTATTGCATTGTATATGTGTCTTCTTTACATGGCAGATTACTCTGCTCCTTTCCATTATCTTTTTCTCATGTCCTAAATTAGTAGGACTATATCAAACAATTTCTCAATGATTCTTTTTATGTTATTTGGTACTTCTTTTAACTTAAAATATTGCTGCATTATTTTTCTGTTACTACTGAAGTTGGGGGCATAATCAAAATGGTGAACTTGGACTTGGTACCACAGAGGACTCTCTTCTGCCACAAAAAGTTCAAAAATTTGAGGTACTAAGATTTGAATCCAGGATTTTTATAATGAATAATGCTTTATGGTCTAGTTATTATCAGCACTCAATAAGATGGATTTAGTAATCTTTTCAAAATTGTTTTTAGTATTAATCAATGAAGCTAGAAAGCATTTAACAGTTCTCATAATTGCTGCTGACAAAACATTCCAACCGATTAGTGCGCTTAATTATATATGGCGACAAAAAATTTAAAGAAATATATTCTTTTCATCAAAATGTGAGAAAAACTAGGAGAAGTATCATCTTTTTAAATATCTTGACTAGTTTTCAAATGAAACTTTACCGTGCTTTCTCTTTTGAAGTTTAAGAAATTTCAGAAACTATGAGATTAGTTGTATTTATAAGATTATTTTTTACTTTCTAGTGAATGCCATGGTAATTAACCGACCCATCATCTGATCTTCATTAAAATAAAGCATGGTTAACTTAATAATTTTCAAATAAATATCCTTCAATTTGAACAAATTAAGTTTAAGGGAAGCTAAAATCAACAAAAACAATAGCAGCAATTGACCTCTTGTCAAGAAACAGTTAATTTCCGGACTCATATACGATTAAGTTAATTGGACAATGAATAAGTATATGCATCAAACAATACTATTTCCTTAACTTCTTAGACGCACGAACTTTTGTATTGTTGTAGGGAATACCTATCAAAATGGTTGCTGCTGGTGCTGAACATAGTGTAGCAATCACTGAAGACGGGAATTTGTATGGATGGGGTTGGGGCCGTTATGGAAACTTGGGTTTGGGTGACAGAAATGATCGTTTGCTCCCTGAGAAAGTGACTGTTGATGTACGTTCTCAAACTTGTATAAGATAACCTTTTCAGATTAGACTGTGATTATGATTCTATAGTCTGGAAAAATATATTATGAGACTATATTATTAGTATTCATTCCTGAGAAACTTAAACTTGCTATTAAATTTTAAGGACAAAAGTTTGATATAGTTACTTGGATATTTCTAGTGTCGATTCTACAATTTCTAATCAGAGTTTCTAGATACATATATTATTAGAAATTAATATAGATTATTGAGATGAAATTCAATTCTGATGAGAGAATAACACTAAAAATGAGTTGAGCAACTAGACTTTGTCCATAACTTCAATAGAAGAAGCATCATTTGTTGGTGTTACTTCCGATGTCCTCATAACTTTAAATTTTACAGGGTTACAAAATAACCCAGGTTGCTTGTGGCTGGCGGCATACAATATGTGTTTCATCTTCTGGTGGATTATACACATATGGATGGGGCAAATATGGTCAGCTAGGACATGGGGATTTTGAGGATCATCTTGTACCTTGCAAGGTTGAAGCTTTGAGTGATAAGTTCATCTCGCAGGTGGTCCTTTAACTTCATGCTTGGTAACAATTAATCTCATTTACACACTTTTTGTCGTTTTTATTGCTTATAGCTTTCTAGAAATTTAACTGGGTTAAAATAAAAAGGTTGGTCACACAGCACTGAATCTTGTCCTACATCCAATGACATGCAAAAGGATGTGATGTGTTTGAGACAAAGTCTAGTGGCTATAGTTGTCTTTTTTGTCTCCTATGTTTGTTATGTTTGTTTGGACTTGTTTCAGGTATCAGGTGGGTGGAGGCATAGTATGGCACTCACATCTAGTGGACAACTTTTAGGCTGGGGATGGAATAAGGTTGCCAGTACTTTATTCTTCTCCTATTTTCATGAAATACATATGAACACAACACAGTAGATAGAAATATTGATGATTGGTTAAATAACAAACGTGCATGTGTGCCTGTTACTGATATAGCAAAGGATGTATTAATAATATACCAGAAGTTAAACAAATAGACTTTGCATCTGTTTGATGCATCCTAATAACCTACTTCTACTTCAAATTGTATGTAGTTTGGACAGATTGGAGTTGGCAACAATTTAGATTGTTCCTCTCCCGTGCAAGTGAACTTTCCCTATGATCAGGTACTTGAAACTGCAACACCCTTCTTCACTTTTTGGAAAACTGATCTTGACCATGTGTAATAACAATGACCCACTATTTATATCTCTGCAAAATTTGTATCTGGCATGGTAGAAAGTACATCAGATTTCATGTGGGTGGAGACACACGATTGCTGTTACTGAACGTGAAGATGTATACTCATGGGGACGAGGAGCAAATGGACAACTTGGGAATGGACAAACCATAGACCGGTAAAATTGCATGTGCCTGTATATTTTAAACCGGATAAAAAATTAATTAGATTACAATTTTAATAATGTTGTTATAAAATACAAATTTAATCGCTGTAACCATTAAATTTTATATTTTTATTAATTAGATTAGATGTGCAAAATTGTATATAATTTCAAGATTTGAAATTTGGCACTGTCAACTGTTAGAATAAGCTTAAATTATAATATTGGTTGAGGCATCTTGACATCTTATTCTTTCATACCAAATTTTGTCAACTCAAGCTTGTCTATATCAGAATATAGTCTTGAATTTGCCTTTACTCTTTCCTCCCTCAAAAGTTACTGATCCACTTCACTAAGAAGTAATCTTCAAGGAGTGCATTTCATCAAAGGCTTGAATATGTGTTCTGTTTGGGATTTATAGAAATGTTCCAACCATTATTGATGCCTTCAGTGTTGATGGATCTCCTGGTCAGTACATAGAAACCTCAAAACCTTCTCCATCATCAGGTGCACTGATAAGCCCCTGTAATTTAGGATCAACATTTTTTTTTCCTTTTAAAATACTTTAGCATGATCCTATTTTTTTTTTTGCCTTGAATAGGGAAGTCATCATCCTTCATATCAGACAGATATGCAATTGTTCCAGATAAAACTGTAAGTGTTTCTTGCTTGAACATTCACTACTCATAATTATGAGTGTTAAGGGAGGGTTAGATTTTGCCAATTTTCTTCTTTTTCTTTTTGGCCATTGATCTTAGCATAGTTTTTAACCTTAGAAGGTATGGCTCACAGATCAGAAATCTCAGTGGCTAACTTTTGCTTGAATATAAACTCTTTCAAATACAAGAGAAGTTGATAGAGTGACACACAACTTGGTATGATTTGGCAGGCCTCGAGTTCAGAAAGGGAATATGAGCATGAAACCAGTGTCCCTGAAAGTGATGCCCGTAGAAATTAAGTTAGGACAAAAAAATTGTATGCAAAGATGGTAATGGTTGTGAAGGTGGTTGACAGAACTACCTTCTTAGCTTATGCTGCGAAGTAATCCAGCTTTTGGTACATTTTGTTTGGTTACGACTTTCATAACAATTTCTCAAACCCATCTTCCAGGGACTTATTTTCTACTGTTTTTCGTTTTTAAATTTTAATAATTCAATTCTTAATTGAAATTCATTAATTTTTCAAAAGAGAAAAATGATTGAATAAATATTCAATTGATTTATTTAATGTTATGTGATTTGTAATATTGACTTTTTAAAACATTAAGTTATTTCAATTCCATTTTAACGCATATATAATGAAAAGATATATCTTTACAGGAAATAAGTGTATTGATTAAATAATTTTTTTTAAAAGATAAAATTTATAAAAAACGTATAATTAAAAAAGTAAATAATAAATGATATTTTTTTATTATTTTATACAATATTAAAAAAGTGATTAAAAAAATATCTTATTATAGGTATAGAAAAAATTAAAAATAATACAACTTCGCGCAAGCGCACGTGGACCAGGTGTTACACACTGAATGACGCCGCTTTGAATAGTTAAAATTACTTTTTATTTCTTAAAAATTGATGAATTTAGTTTAACCTAACAAGACATGTGTCACAAAATGAAAGGCACGTGTCATAAAATTTAGTTAATTGATTTAAGATACTGTACCTGTACGTGGCTTTCTTACTCATAGTTTAATTATTTATTTGCATAAATGTTTCATTTTATGAAAATGAGATTATTTAATAGTTTAATGGTGATTGAATGGATATTTAATAAGATAATAATTACATAATATTAGAAATATAAAACTATTTATTTGATAATATAAAAAATATAAATAAGACATTTTTTTATAGATTTGTATTATTTAAAGTGTATTAAAAAATTAACTTAAACATTTAAGCTTTAACAATATATACTATTAATAAATAAAAAAAGCTTAAATCTATATGACAAATATTTTAGATTAAATTTTAAAAAATAAAAACATATTTTATTAAACATTGTTTCACTGTGAAATAATTTGTATTCGTTTATTAATTCTTAAATACTTCAAAGTGATTTATTAAATTATTTTTTATAAGAATTATATATATATATATATATATATATATATATATATATATATATAACTTCTAATTGAGTTTTTTTCTTCATTGAAAAAAAGGATTAACTAAATTGATAAATTAATTATTTATTCTTAAATGACTTGTTTATTTATATAGATCATCAATTGTAAATCCCTTATTTTCTATGTTCTTTTTATAGCATTTTGTATAAACACTTTTATGGTTATTTACCATTCTCATTGTTCTTTGTGAATGCACTTTTGTGTTTATAAGCATATTTTTCTTCTACGTTTTCATATGTTCCTCCATAAGATGTTACATTATTTTTGTTTTTTACTTTTTATTGATGAACCAAGATAAGGATCATAAATGACTCTATTTCTTTGTGGAATAACTTTTTAACATTTGTTTCATATTTTTATCGACCATGGATCACATTTGTCTCTGTTTTTTGTTATACATCCTCGACTTGAATCCCACTAACCTAATTTTAATGTTGTATTTTACTAATCATTATTATACACAAACTCAAGTATATCACTCATACTATGACCTTATCTTCCAAACATGATTTATTCAAACATCCAATATACAACTTACTATAATACTATAATAATAATTTTAAATTATTTTTATTAAATCTTTTATAATTATTATATTAATAAAAACAGGTTCTATAAGAAATGTTTATTTTGTAGTGATGTCAATTTATCGTTGATCTAAAATGAAGAGTCTTTTAAGGGCAATTTCATATCCACATAGTTATCCAAAATATATCTTGTGTTAAACTATATAAACATGCACAATCCTATAGATCCCATTAGATTCCGATTTTCACCATCATTTATCTTTTCTCTCCTTACATTTCTATCTTGCATATTTCAAGAGTTAAAGATATTGATTTCTCCTTGAAACCACTTTTTTTTTAATTATTATATATTCTTAAAATTTTCTTTCACAACATCATATACATCAAAACAAATTTACTTGTAAATTATAAACATTGAATAAAATCTTTAACATAATTATAAGAATTAAACCTATAGTATGATATCAAATAGCCTACATATATGAGTATACAATTCTAAACAATTATTTTTTAATATTCTCGATATTGAAAATAAGAAGAATAATTTGCATTGGAAAACCATTTTTTATGATAACCCCTCACAAAATGCATTATGATACTCTTTATCAAAGGAAAATTGCATCAAATGATAAACCATTTGCATGTGTACCATTTTCAATGGTCCTCCTTTTCTCCAACTAAGTTGTAGCTTTTCTCCGAGATATGAAATTATCATCTCCCATAACATCTTCACAATAGAAGATTTCATCCATGTTAACTACCACTTTTTCCATTCATAACCACTAAGGGAAATAAGTAAACAAATTCATCAAACTTTAGTTGATCTCGTTCCTCTCTTACCATTAATTTTATTTTTTCTTTAGTGTATTTATCTCATTTTTTTACTTTGATTTCTCTAACATAAACATATTTTTCTTTCATAAACTTATCACAAAGAAGTATTTTTCCCTAAAAAGAATAATTTGTCTTTTTTGAAGCATTTTTAAAGTCTTAATTATCAATGTGTTTTATTAATGAAGTTGTGAAATCAACCTTAACAAAACACAAAAACCTTAGGAAACATGGTGTCTCTCGCTAGTTCATACATATAACTTTTATAAAAAATTATGTAAATAAAGATTATAATTGGGCAAGTGTTATTTTCCTTTTTACTTAATTTGACATGAAAATTGTTTTTACCTCTACTACAGTCCAAATTTTTATTTGAATTGTATTGAAAATAAATAATAATGATAAAATTATGGAAAGTAAACTTTACAAATCAAATATGTAAATTTAGTTACATAAGGTGGAATTAAATTTTGAATCTTTTAAACATTATCTTAGTTTAAGTTTAAAATTAGAAACACATTTAATTAGACAATAATGAATAATTTTTTTGAAGAAATGGATAAAAAATGAGTGAGAAGAGGAAAATAAGTATTTACGTTTAAAATGTGTCCTAGTTCACCAATAGCCTTGAATAGGGCAAAATTAGGATGCAAAAGTAGAAGAAGTGAATAAAGAAAAGGGAAGAAAAAGTAAAAGGAGGGTAAGAAAAATGAAGAAAAAAGAGTATGGTGGTAGAGGTGAGGGAGGGGTTAAACATGATTGCGTTACATGATTGAACAGAAAAAAGAAAAAAAAAAAAAAAAAAAGGAATTTAAACAAGGTGGATCGGCCTTGGCAAATGCTTCAATTGGACAAAGGGAGGGAGGAATCAAAGGCGTAACGAACCCTTCCCCTTCCTTTCACATCCTCTCCCTCTATGCTCTCTGCATCGCAACACAGCACCGTTCCCCTGCACCCTCACACACCAGATCGCTCCTTCTTTCTCCAATTCCAACCATGAACGATTTCGATGGCCTCTTCACCACCGATTTCGGCCTCAAACCCAAGGGAAAATCCGCGCCAATGGCTCCTTCCTCCAAGGGATCTTCCAACGCCGCGCCTCTCAACTTCGATTTCGGATCGCGATCCGCCCCGAACTTCGACGATCTCCTCGCCAGCGCCGGATCCGACACTCGCCGCACCGATTCCCCCTTCGATTTGGATTCCATGTACGGCGGACCTCCCGCCCGCTCCTCCAGCTCCCCGCCGCCCGTCTACGACAAGCCTGTCTATGACGACGACATTTTCGACGGCGTCCCGGGGCTGAAGAGCACCTCCAAAGTTAAATTCGACGATGTTTTCGCCACGACAGAGAGCGGTGGAGGCAGCGCCGCGTTCGACGATCTTCTCGGCGGGTTTGGGAAGGAACCGAAGAGTTCCGGTGGGAAGAGATCGGAGAAGGATGCTAAAGGTGCTTCCGATTTCGATGATTTGCTTGCTGGATTTGGGCACAGTAGGTCACCATCTAGTGGAAGGTATATATACGTGTGTTTGTGTGTTTTGGTAACTAGGGTTCTTTTGCAATCGGCATTGTTCAGTGCGGTATTCATGGTTTTGAGCTTTTACTTAATGCGCAAGGAAGTGTGAGGGTGTGTTTATTGCTCTTTACCATGTGCAGCTGTTAGAGAGAGCTGGAATTAAGTTTTCTTTGGCGAAACTTATTCCGGTTCTAATCTGGGAACATCTACAGTAACTGGGACCGCTGAAAATAACTATGCTGAACTGAAAATTTCTGGCAAGGCTCCAGTTGGTTGCAAATTATAGTGTTTTAAGCTTTCATCTAATGTGTAGAAACTCTATAGTAAGAGATATGTTTAATTTTTTTATGTCTTATCTTACATTTTGTGAGAACATTCTTCACTAAAGACTGGGATGATTTCAGAGTAGTTAATAGTTTAATAACTGAGTTTAAGTTTACATTTAGAAAATAAATAATTGGCAATAATCTTCCTAAAATTTGAATTGTCTGTGTCTATACAAGATCATCTAGTGACTAACTTTCTCCTTGGAGATCTTCATAGCTTTCTACCGTTCTTAGTCCCATTGAATATACAAGTTTATCTCCACTGAATGCTGAAACTGTTGGGAATTATTATCTATCCATGGGCTATTGTTGAAATTAAACAATGGTTTGTTGTTTGAATATTTAACTTTTTGGTCCATCTAAAATTGATTTTAGTTGTCTGGAACTTGGAGGGAGCTATTCTGGCATTAGGTCTATACCCTATAGGACTGACATGAAGTTTGGGGGGGGGGGGTTCTTTTTGCTATGTATTGTTTTCCTCTAATTATTTGATGTGTTGATGTATTGCAACTGTGTTTGGTTGTTAAGATTCATATGATGTCGTATGCACAATCCTAAATTATTTATTGTTCATGTGATATCACTCTATTGGTAATCTGTTTGACTGAAAGACATTTAAGCATGCATAGCACAGTTTGAACTATTAGGTTTAGTAACTTATGTTATACTTTTCTTTAGTTTAGTAGCTAAACAAACTGAAAGGAGTTTCGAAGTTGACTAATGAGGTGATTTCAGTAGTGGCTATTTATTTGTGTACTGGCAGTATGGCACTCTCAAATTGGGTCAACTGAAGTTACCCATGCACTTTGTAATATGAGAGTTTATAGTAAATTTTATCAAATCTTAAACCTGAATTGCTTGGAAAGTTTGAGAATGTCATGCACCCTGTAAAGTTTAAGAGCTTTTTTTTTTTCTAGATGAAGAGTTATCCTTCTATTAGAAATAACTTTTGAGGTTCCAGGTGACATTTGTTGTATATTTTTTTTTCTCTACAAAGTGAATTCTTCATTTTATCCAGTTGCTGATGTGTAGCAGCTCTACAATGATGAAAGAAAATTAAGTTACTCGACCTGAGCATGCTTTGTCTAGTACGAGCTAGGAGTTGAAGCATCTCAACTGGTTAGACAGAATGGAAAGGAAGAGAATGTGAACTAGTTAGTATCTATGAGGATACAACGAGTCACGAAGCTGGTGATATGAATTGTTATTGTGCTTGTATCTTAGAGTGAATCACCCGAATCAGTCTAGCATCATACAAATTGCTGTTGAATTGCATGATTTTTGCAATGCAGATCACAACACCTTGAAGTCCAAGTCCTTTTATGTTGTACCTGGCCATTGTGGTTATATAAAATTCCAAAACTACGAAATGGCTGCTGGAGCTGGCAAATCATGATTCACTCATAGTAATTATTTCTGCACAATAGTGGCACTAAGGCAAATCATTGCTTCGCAGCATCCTGCCACTCCTTCAAGGTTCATAACATTGCACCTGGCCAGCACTTCCTGTGGCCAAAATTGCTGAAATCATTCTGCATTGCAAATCTACAGCCTCTTTTCACCGTTATGCTCTCACTGTTGTACTTGTTACTATTGGGTCAGAGAAGCGAGATGACCCATTTACAAACCTAACGCTAAATGAAAAATACTGTCTGTTTCTTTTTTTTACTTTTGTCTATCAGTTCCAGGACAAGACAAATCATGCTTAGAATTGGACAGTTAGTTTAAGCATTTCTGTTTGGACTGTTCATTTAACCATTGGACCCTGATTCATAATCAAGTTTTATATTTTAATATCAAATTTAAATAGATGTTTAGAAATTAAAATAAAAGCGCTCTTATTTATTGATTGCAAATTTGTGCCTTTATATATATATATATATATATATAAATTTTGTGTTTTATTACAGATCATGAATCTTACAATTTGGCCGTGATGACACTATTGACCGGCTCTATTCTTTTGTATGCTGGTTCATTCATAATTTTGTTTGGTTGAAGATAAATTTGTATTTGTTTTAATTTCTGTTTGCAGTTTACATATAAAATACATCATGCTATAAATCAGTGTTGTTAAATAGCTGCTATAGCGGCACAGTTGAATTGCAGAATATTTTGGATTTGCAGTTGCAACTCTGCCCACTGGCCACCATGGGTGTTGTTACTTAAACACTCTTTCTGCATCCTTCTGTGATCTTTGATGAGTCTCCATCGAATTGAAATAAGTTGAAATTATGCATTTTATTTTTATTTACATGCAGCTAAATTTTTTGATACATATATAATTGCTTTGCAACTTCTGCTATATTGCTATATGGTGTAGCGAATTGGCTTTTTTCTGCAATTTGCAATTGATAAAACTTATATGAAAATACAAGATGCTTGAAACTTTAAATTGTAAAGGATCTAAGGTGTATGCAGCTAGGAAATAAAGCTTCTCTCATGTCTTTCTCTCTTGTATTTTATTTATGTATGACAAATATCTTCTTAAAAGCTGTAGTGAATATGAACGTGAGTAAAGATGGATAGCCCAACTAACAATGGAAAAGAATGAGAATAATACGTTATCAAATATCAAAGATACATTTAAAATATTTTTTGAGAGTGTATTAAAAAGTTCTGTTCCTTATCTGAAATAATCTATGTAAAATTAAAAATGTGTTTTATGAGCATTGTGTCTTATATTTTCTGTGATTCTCCAATAAAATGAATCAGTATCATAATCTTATCTATACTTATTTTTTTTAGTTTGTGGAATGAATAGCTTGATACTTGTCTACACTTATCTATGATGACTGAGTCATAGATATTGTTTATTTTGTCAATGGTTGATGCATCATAATTTTTTCTATGAATTGTTATTGACAGGCACACTACTGATACTGGTTTCTTCACAGAACCAACTGCCAGTGCATCTACAACAACCTCCACTGTGGCAGACGACCCTTTCAAAGTGTTTGAATCAGCTTCGGCCCCAGGGGATTCATCCACAGGCAACTTTATGGAGCCCTTGGAAGAAATTAGTAAATTTAGTAGTTCCGGAAGCACAAAACATGATAGTTCTTCAACTTCAAATGGCAAAATGCATGAAGATATTGATCCTTTTGATGGTCTTGGAAAATCTGTGCCAGCTTTCTCATCAGAGAGAAATAGCAGGAAGGGTAGCAGTTCCCCAAGGTTGAATACAAACCCAAGTTGGACTGGAGATAAAGAACCAGTTGATAAGATATCTGGTAGGAGTCCTGAGAAACATACACAAAACAAGATTCCTGTCGAAAATGATAGGGAATTTTCACAGGCCCCATTTCATATGCCTACCTATTCATCTGATTCTGATAAACCAGTTGGCAAAAGGCCTACTTCCCCTCCATACAATAATGTTGATTTTAGACAAGCCAATATTCAGGCAGATATGCCTCCGAAATATGAAGATAACTTGGAACCAAGTGAGGGTATATGGCTGACAGTATCAGAGATTCCACTTTTTACACAACCAACTACTGCCCCACCACCTTCAAGACCTCCTCCTCCACGGCCAGTGCATATTCCCAAGTCAGGAACAAGTTCACCAGTGTCTTCCAGTGCTAGAAAGAAGGATAATGAGTTTTCTTCTTTTCCTGGTTCCTCTCGATTCTCCCAGGTTCCCAAGTCTTCTCCAGCTGCTGGAAGGGTATCCCCTTCATCTCAGTTTGATGAACTTGATGATTTTGCCATGGGCAGAAGTCATGGTAATGATAACGAGGGTGGAAATGGTCTTCCTGATGAAGAATTAGAAATGAACTCTGCTGCTGCAGCTATGAAGGAGGCAATGGATAGAGCTGAAGCTAAGTTTAGGCATGCAAAGGAAGTTAGGGAGAGAGAATATTCAAAGTCTGCTAGAAGCAAAGAAGCTGTGCAAATGGATAAAGATGAGAGAGCTGTGCTTGAGGAGAGAGAAAAACAGGAAAGGTTAGACCGTGAGCGGCAGCAAAAGGAGAGAGAGGAAAAGGAGCAAAGAAGACTAATGAAAGAAAGAGAGGAGAAAGAAAAAGAACAACAGCGACTAGAGAGGGAGAAGGCACGACAGGCAGTAGAAAGAGCTACTAGAGAAGCACGAGAAAGAGCAGCTGCTGGAGCACGCCAAAGAGCTGAGAGGGCTGCTGTTGAGAAAGCTAATGCTGAAGCTCGAGGACGTGCTGAAAGGGCTGCAGTGCAAAGGGCACAAGCAGAAGCACGAGAAAGGGCTGCTGCATGGGCAAAAGAGAAAGCCGAAAAGGCTGCTGCTGAAGCAAAGGAGAGGGAAGCACAAGAAAGAGCTACAGCTGCAAGGGCTGAAGCAGAAGCACGAGTTAAAGCAGAACGTGCCTCTGTGGAAAGGGCTGCTGCTGAAGCCCGAGAAAGGGCTGCAGCTGCTGCTAGGATGAACCAACAAAAGAATGAAAATGATCTTGAATCCTTCTTTGGCATGGGTCGAGCTAGCAGTGCTCCAAGGCCTCCTAGGACTAACTCTTCAGTGAGGACCCTTTCTTTAATCTATAGTTCTATACTGATATATAATGGCCAAAACTTGGCTTTTGTGTATACCCCATCTTGCAAAATTTACCATGTAAAAAATCAGGAAGTTATAGTTAGTGGGTAGTTATGTAGTCTTTTGAAACTTAAAAACATTTTATTGTGAAACTAAATTAAAAAGGCAAGACTGACATGCATGTTAACATTAGATTGATTCTATTTGAAAGTTTAGTGCTAATTTTCTGGACCTGGATGTTTTCAGGACTCTGTATTTGAATCCCAGTTTCAGTCAGATGCAACAAGGAAATCGACAAGTGCATCGACAAGTATGAAGAAAGCATCATCATCCACTAATATTGTTGATGATCTTTCCTCAATTTTTGGAGGTAGGTCAGCTTTTTCAATATATTCATTTCAGTAGTTGTTTGCATGTTTGTTTCATTTCCCTTTCCCTTTTATGGCTTGAAGCTGCTCCATCATCTGGAGAGTTCCAGGAAGTTGAAGGGGAAACTGAAGACAGGCGACGAGCCAGGTTGGAGCGCCATCAAAGGACTAAGGAGCGTGCTGTATGTATTATTGCACATCTGTATTTGTCTCCATAATTTAATTTCATCTTTGTTAATTGATGGTTAACAAAATTGATGAAGAATACTTTCTTTTTGACCCAACTTGACATTAGATTTATGGTGAAGTCTCAAGTGTATCTTATCATTCAAATTTGTTTGAACTTGTTTGTCTATAAGATCTTTGCAATTTTATTCTAGGCAAAAGCATTGGCTGAGAAGAATGAGAGGGACTTGCAAACTCAAAGAGAACAAGCTGAGAGACATGTAAGTAGTCTTTTTATATTTCTTTTTTTTGGTAGGTGAGAGGGTTTCTGTCATATTCTTGCAAAAGCTGCGTTTACGGAATCTATTCATTTCCTGTCACCCTTGTTCTGGCCAAAAATCTGTTTGGTGAAACCACTAATAAAAGTTTACATTTTTCTAATATCCTTTAATTTTGATATCTAATTTCTGTTCACTGATTTCAGAGGCTAGCTGAAACACTGGATTTTGAAATTAAGCGCTGGGCTGCAGGAAAAGAGGGGAATCTACGAGCATTGCTATCCACCTTACAATATGTATGTACTTTTAGTGCGCAGACTTTTGATAATATTTCTAAATTTTTCTATCCATATCCATGTGGTGCTTGGAAGTGTGTAGACTTAAATTATATCCTTATCTTCTCTTTGAATTCTTAGGTTCAAATTTTAGTTCATTTTTGCATGGTGGGATTTTCCTTTTTGTTTTGGCTTATATTTTCTCAGATCAGCAATCTACTACCCGAAGGCTAGATGTGAACTGGTGTGCTGATTCTAACACTGTAGTACTGATTGTATGGATTTGAATTGCTTCACATTGGGTTCAACCACTATATCTATATCTATATCTATATCTATTTCATACAATAGACATTATCCGTAGTAGAAATTTCTGATCAGATATTTGCTAGAAGAAGACTATGTCCTTGGGAGACAAGTTTGATTTTGAAAAGATTGTTAGGTTAGGATGTATTCGTTATTCAATTGCAAATAATCCAGATTGCTGAGGAAAGGAGATTGCAAATATACACACTGAAAAGTCCATGCATTTAAATTATGAAGAAGTCCCTTAATATTTATGGTGTTATTGTTTTAGTTACAGAACCTGTATCAATTAAATTAACTTGCTTCCTTCATGAATGATGATCAGGTACTGTGGCCTGAATGTGGATGGCAGCCAGTTTCTTTGACTGATTTGATTACAGCTGCTGCTGTTAAAAAAGCCTATAGGAAAGCTACGTTGTGTATCCATCCTGATAAAGTGCAACAAAAGGGTGCCAATCTACAGCAGAAATATGTTGCAGAGAAGGTGTTTGATCTACTCAAGGTATTTCCGGTCATTTTATGTTACATAGATATGCTTTTTAATCAATGATTTACGAAGAATATGTTTAGTGTAGCCAGTGACAATCAATGAGTTTCTGAACGGAGATTACTCTACCCTTTTTCAATGCAGCTTATTTTGTGTAGCCATTTTTGGTCAAAATTCTGTCCATGCCAAGACAGGATTTTTAACTAAGTTGGTGGGTTTATCCCAAAGTGTATGTTAATAAGATCAACCAAGTCAGTTGATCTCGAGTTATTAGCTGTTAACATTTTCTCTTGAAATTCTTACAAGCTTTCCTGCATTTTCCCAGCCATTTTCTTTTGCATTTTAGTTACACAACGACTAGCAGACAATTATATACATAAGAATATATTTATTCTAAGAATAAGAGTTAGAGACTTATTCTTTGTTTTTATCATTCAATTTTTTGTTATTTAATAGTTAAGATGAATTACTATTTTAGATCTGTACAAAAAAAAAAGAATAGTTTGGATTGATGAATAAATCTCTAGCTTTCTCTTTTTCACTATATATATACAGCTAACTCATTGGGAACTTTGTATATGTTAGTCCGCAGTCAATAATATCACATTTATGGTAGCTTTATATGATCTGCTGCAGTAACAAAATAGCAGTTTATCGAGGATTTAAGATTTTGGTAAAACTGTGTTAACTGTACCCCAGTATGTTTGTGCTCTAAACCAACAAAAACTTTCAGTTATGGTTTATAAAAAAAACTTGAGTACTACCTTGCATAATTTCCAAGCTACTGCCTGTTGGTTCAATGTACGAAGCATCAGATTTTTTCCCCTAGATAGCTTTGAAGAGTCCGGACAACTAGTTGATATCGGTATGGCCCGTTGGCTGGTTGAATTAGTGTTAATAGTTAAAAGGACAACGTGTTGTGTGTTTGTCTTTTTTAGTTTGGTCGTGTTCCCAATGTATACATTATTAGTTCATTACTCCAAAAATTTGGTTGCTGCAGTTAGTGGTCATACTTGCAGTTTTATCATAAATAATATTTCCCCCTTTTTCTTTTCAATACATGTGTCGAAAGTGACTTGACATGCACTTGGGTTTGCTTAAGACTCGTATATTTTTCTACCAAAGTCCAGAACAGCCTTCATTTTGCCTGAATGTTTAATCATTTATTACAGGAAGCCTGGAATAAATTCAATTCTGAGGAGCTTTTCTAGTCTTTTGATGAATTCATCCAATTGAAGGTAATTTGTTCAACGATTCTGTTCAGAGGACCAAGACCCTGTTTCATCTACCTCCCTAATAGCGTACTTGTTTTGATTGAAGTTATAATGCATCGATGGTGAAATACTGCTTCCTTGTCTGGCGTCTCAGGTCTTCTTGGTTGTAATTGATGTCCTTCCGGGAGTCGTTGGGTTTCTTCAAATGTTTATTAATGTAGCATCTTTTGTCGATGTAAAATATCTTTTTGTGCAATCAATTTCATTATTCATTATCCCTGCCTAGCAAGGGGTTTTTTGGGGTTCAAGAGAGGATCCACCCCGAAGTGGGTCCGGGGAAGCCCTCCTTTTATACTTGTGGTATATATAGTACGATGTCTTGAATACGTATACCATGGATTGACACCAAAAGCTGCGATTAATACATGGATCTTCGCACAAGCTTCTGCATTTTATACATTTGAATTGGTTTGTCATCAGCTGTGTTAGATTGAGCTAGTTCAACCTTTTTGTTTGATGCTGGGACAGCACAGTCTTTAGTCTACTGATGAAAAACTTTTGTACGTTTTTCATTTGCTCTGGATAATTTCTGTATATTCAACTTTGTTTCTATGTACATAGTGCAGGTGGTGTAAGTAAGGCATGTCGAATTCAACTCTTAAAAATTTCGACTTAGTTTGTGTGAAAATGTCAAGTTTGATTCCTTTAGTTAAAAGAATCAAATTAGGGGTAAAGTAAAACTTCTACATGGTTTGTATAATGATGGAATTAAATCTTGACATGGTAGTTTACAAAAGCCAAATATAAAGTTGAGTCAGATTTGATTTGAAGCAAAATGAGATCTGAGTAGTATTTTTTTTTCATACCAAAATTTTCTTAGAAATATTCTTAATTTCATATAGTATTTAAGGAATATATGGATTCAAAAGGAGTAACTAAAAATAGAAAATAAAAAGAAACGTTAAGCATTAAATTGTATTCTTAAGTCGCACTAAAAATTGAAAATGGATTGGAGAGTAGCATTCTCCCCATCAATGCTTACAAGGAGAGATCAATTGATGTCATAGATAATGTTATACAGACCAAAACCATAGCCAACATGCCACTTGGTAGTCTTGCATACACAAGGAGGCAACAGATGAAGATTAGTAGTTTGTGTGGAATGGTTTATATTTCTTAAGGTCAAGCACGACACCTGCCACTGAGCCAACAGCAGCAACAACTGAAACTATAAGGCAGGCCACGGTAAATATTTGGAGGCTAATCCATCTGTTACTCCATTTTGGAATCTTCTTCTGCGAAATATACATCTCCACTGGAAAGTACACAGTTAGAGGCCAAAATCCCAATGCCCCAATCACTCCCACAACGTCATTGAAGAATGGAAGCAACATTGATACGACAGTTGTTAGAAGAACATACAATGTCCTGAAAACTAATCTAAACACCTTTAGTTTGTAAGGGGGTAAACCAGGAATTGGAATCTTCAACTCCCTCTCAATGTTAGGCCATCTTTGTGTCACACCTTTCTCCACAAAGGCGAAGATCGGTTGGGAAAAAACTTGGTATGCTCCCACAAGGTGAATTACTATGGCAGCATTTGCAATGTCTACAAGCCAATATGGGTTATAGAAACCAAAACCAGTTAGCAGATTCCCAGGCGTGGCATCTCCAAAAGCAGCATACCCAATACAACCACACAACATGTAAAATGTCGTGGTCACTACAATACTTATCAACGAGGCCTTCTTCATTGTTTTCTCTTCAGAAGGTGGAGATTTCATGGTGTCCTACAGTCACCAAAATCTAGTTTACTTTATGATAAGTCAATTCTTTTTTAAGGCCAAAACTATTCAATTTAGTCCCCATAATTGACTTTATTTTCAGTTTTAATTTCTATACAAGAATACTGTATATTTTAGTTTCTATATTGCATACAAATTAAGTTTTCAGTATCTGATGAGCACATCAAAGAATTTTTTTTAAGGTATAAAGCTATTACCAAAACTTTCCTAATGTGATTAAAACTTATAGCTTTTTTAAAATAAATATAAAGTAAGAACAAGTATGTCAATGAATACTTAAAAATTTAAAATTAAGTAATTCTTTATTTTTGAAGTGTATACCTGAATTTCTATGAGAACCACAGCATATGAATAGGCAAAGGCTATGTCACCGAATGCTTGGGCAGTCCTCCATATTTTCTGGGACTGTGGCACAGGTCCGATGCTGATTCCAGTAAGGTTACCTTTGAAGGTACCCGTTTCTGTTCATGAACCATTCAAATTTTATGCCTATCTGATGTCACGTTACCACAAAGATATACATAGGAGAGAGCATTATCAATATAACCTGCAACTTTGGCAATTCCAAGAGAGAGACCAATTGTGGAATAGGTGAAAGACATTATTGCAGCAACTGTTGAGAGCCACCATATTTTATCAAAATCGGGAATTTGAGAAAGGAAAATCTCGGTTGCACCAAAAATGATCATGTATAGGTTGCTTGACATGTGACATGGGTTTTTGCCCCCAGATTGATGGAAACAGTTGGACCTTCTAATTGCCCTGTCAATCACAATCAATGAAACTCAATCAAACACATCATAATCTTCATCAAACTGCATAATAATACTATTTCTGTGTCATAATTATGAACAGTTAATTTGGGAACATGTATAGTTTTTATGTACCTAAGTTTGATCAAAATCAAAATAAAAGTGTGCAGAAAATGAGATAAAGTAATTTATAATTAAAAATAATACCGAAATAAATCATCCTTGTAGATTACAAGTATATAATTCAACACAAAGTGTAAAAATCTGAGCTCACATCATGCTAATAGAAGCTGCAATTGTGTATCCTATTACAATTCCCAGTAGATCCAGGTACTGAATTATCCCACACAACGTAACGTGGGATCCTCCTGCAAAATACATTATATTGCGTGTTATCACTTATTCTACATGTACTGGAGGCAGATCCAGACATGGTTATCCAAATTTTTTTAAACTTTTTAGAAGTACTGAAGAAAAATATATAGATTCTTCACAAATATAATGGTTAGTTTGGACAATACACTCTACATACAAGGTTTATAGGAAAATAAACTATTAGGTAATATCGACTTATCTATTTCATTACATTAAATAAATAAATTAGAATATTTTTCAGACAATTCAAAGTTGTAAGTTGATTCTAATAAGAAGTCTAATTAATTTACCTTATCTTTTTCAAAAGAGCATTTATCAGCAAATTTATCTAAAACTAGGCTGTTTTCTATAAATCATATGAAAATTTTGTAAGTTCTATCATCTATTTTCCTTTATTATTTAATTTGGGTTTAATTTTTAAGTTGAAATTATTTATGTACCTTCTAATTTCCAAAGAGTATATTACAGATATTAAATGAGATTGACTTTGTCAAACTAGTTAAAAAGATAATTTTCATCAAATATTATACCAGATATGGTTGATGAGAAGTAACCTGTCCTCTGTAAGTGTAACAAACAAATCATGAATTTAAGATGCTCATGGTTTCCACACACTTTAGTATAGTAGTATGTAAGTCACCAAAATGTCATTGATACTGTTAGCGAGTAGATTTATCAGAGTACAGCATACAAAGTTGGCGAATAAACATTAAATCGTATTTTCTGGGAAAGATTCCCTTTTCCTTTTTAGTAGTGGAAAAAAAGACTATGTGCATATTATATTAAATTCTCCAACCCTAGAAAATTCCCTTTCTTCTAAACAGGAATATAGCAGTGCATATTATATTAAACTCCAGATATTCATCTAGCTAGTTGAACTTGTACAAGACATGTGCATATATATAAGGTCAACTTGTGCATGCATGCATATATTATTTGTGAATAAAATATTTGAATGAACGATAGATGAATTGTTACCAAGAATGGAGCGAACTGCGTCCATGTAAGTGTGGTTTCTCTTGCCAGAATTGGAGCCTCCGTCACGATAACATTGAGCCAGCAATGATGAAGTGTAGAAGGTAACCAAAGAGAACAAGATCATGACAGTAGGACCAGCAATCCACCCTAACTGAGCTATGGCCCAAGCCAATGACAGCACCCCAGATCCTATCACAGCAGTTATTATGTGCGAGCTTCCAGTCCAAACGTTTCCTGTCTCAATCAATCATGCACTTTTATTATATATTTGCATATGAAAAATAATGCATTTTTCTGCGTAATGGAAAAGGGTAATGTGTTTTGCTTTTTCCTTTGATTTTGAAGGTATATTTTGAGACATGCATGCGTGGACGTAGAAAAAAAATATAAGAGATAAAGTTATAATCAACAATGTCATCTATATCTGTAACATAGTAAAGGATCATCATTAGGTTTATTCTGTCTAAGACTAGTTTATTCTTTAACTTGCAATATTTAAAACCACCCATTACATTATTCCATATCCAAATAATCATACCAAACTTTTAAAAGATTAAAAAAAAATTTAATATTTTTCTAAAAAGTAAAAATGTGAACAGACAATCATGAAAGTGTCTTGTATTTATACAAAGTTAAGTTGCTTACATAGTTAGTGTAATGTTATCTAGCATAACAATTCATGATTGAATAACAATATCAAAGTATTATATTTACAATGAGTTCATTAATTAATCTTTGTACTGTATAGTTCATATGAAATAGAGTTGTGTATAGTTCTGTAAAGTTGTAAACAAAAGTGAAAGCAGCTTAGAAGAATTTCGTACCAGTTCGTTTGAGACGACCATCATCATCATAGTATTTGGAGTTACTCTGAGAATGCGAAGGCACATCATCATCGATGTCAAAAGCTTGAAGGTTGGTTGTGACTGCATTTTCAGGCATCTTAAGTCGGTGAAATAAACAGATATCAAAGCAGAGAAAATATTTATGAGAAGCTTTTGATGGTAACAGCAATAAGCTTTGTTTTTACTATTACAACAAGCACGTTATACAAGACACAACACATGAAGAAAGAGATACGAGTTGTTGTGTATGGGGAGAAATGAGGTATTTATAGGGGGCTTTGATTTTGAGGAATCTCATAAAGGTGGAAAAAAATATGGAAATGAAACTTTTGGAAAGATGAAAGGGACTAGTTTCCCAGAAAAGATTAAAAAAGAAAAGAAACTTCTGTTCTACTTTTTCATTTAATTTTGTGGCTTAAAACTTATGTTTACGAAATTATTGTTTGAGAATAATTAGTGGGAAAATTGGATGATGATGTTTAAAATTCAGATTACATGTAGATTATATATATATATATGTTGAAAAAGGGCTGCATCAATTAGTTTTATTCAATGTTTTTGTTTTAGCATTTGAATGGTACATGAGAATCTGAAAATGTGGTCCAGATGGCACATATTCTCCTTGTCAAGCATTTCATCAGGCACATAAAGAACCAATTGGAGACTCAGAATTCGGCTTCTGTCAACAATGAATTTCACAAATCAAGAACATAGCACAAATGCATATTCACAAGGGTAAGCAATGCCTATCATATAACTATCAATTAATAAATATGAAAATTAGGGATAGTTGAACTGATACATGATATCACCACCCCAGTTACTGTAAAATGGAAAAGTGCATAACTTTTGAAGGGGGAACAAGATTTAGGGGGAAAAAGTGATTGTGTTATAATGTAATAAGTATAAGCCTAAACTGCAAAAAGCTTGTTAGGTACCATTGCTATATGAGAGTTATTTTTTAAAAGATACATTGAAATACCTGAGAAGAAGATAAAAGTTTACTTCATCATGCTCTTGACTCAACAACACATTGGCTACTTGTGTTGATTAAAAGCTTAGAAATAATGTAGAAAGTTACTAATTTACAATGAAGTGGATCCTAGTTTCTGAAAATATAAAAAAAGTGGAGGTACTAATTATTCCTCTGCCATGCCTAAATAAACTGTTATTTGCATGTTGCATAGGAATCTAATTCCACTTCCTACATTTGATCTCTCAACTGTAACTTCCCTGTCATACATAATGGCCAAATGGAGGAATAAAACACCACATTCATCTTATTCCTTTTCTTTTCCTGTTTTTCAAGGAAGGAAAGTAACCACTCATTCTAATATTTAGATAAGTTTCTTCATTTTTTAAATCTTAAATAAAACGCTGGAGCCAGAATTTTCACCTTTGTTATTGAGAGAGTGCAATGCTCTCCATGTTCATGATTGATGATTGTACATAGAAGGAGTTGTCGTCTAAATTGGGTAGTGGGGGTGGGCCCTCATCATAACTCATAAGTACAAGACAGGCCCAACTTTCACTCTGTCAATTCCATTTGGGCTCGGAGCCCAAGATGTTTAGATTTCAAAACAAATAGTAATTAGTTAGATGATTACGAATCATATAATATCTTTTTCATCCATCAACAAAATATTAACGTTGAGAATCAGATCGACCTAATATCTTAGGATAGACTTTAATCACTGAGTCAAGAGACTTATTTTCTATATCATATTGATTAAAAGTTAATAAACATTTTGACTAAATAAGGAATACTCGTAAATTGTTATTTAAAATAAATTTTAATTGATATTAAAAAATAGTTCTTGGTTGATATTAAACTACACTTTTTGAATTAATATATGTTTCATTTAAGTCTCCTCCCTCATAAACGTATGGGCATTGAAGTTCATCACGTTATAGAACATGTAAAGTAGTGAAGAGATATAAGCACAACTCAAAAGGTAACTTTTTGGCTTTTGAATAATTTTTCTTCTCTATATACATGACATTGTATACTCAATTATGAGATTGTTATGCGGCAGAATATACGATATCAATGCATAAATATAAAAGAATAAAACCAATTCAAATGGAGTTACACAGTTAGTTAAAAGATTATGCTGGATATTAAGTGATTATTTAATAGAGTGTTTCAAGATTATAATAAGATTTTGGATGCGAACATGGTCTTCAAAGAACAACTTTGTTAAGATATGCCCACCAACCTCATCATATTGTTTCCTGGCTTCAGCGATGCACAAAGTGAGCATTCACGTTAATAATTATCAATTTTATAATTATTTTTTTGTTATAGAATCATTTATCTATGTTTCAAGATTAGGTTTTTAATATTTAATTTCAAAAATTTATTCATTCAGTTTATTTTAAGCTAAATTGTAATTTTGATCTCCCTATTTTTCTATTTTGTTCTCAAATTTTAAAAACTCACAGTTCTAGTTAATTACCATGTGCATGGTTAGTGTTGTTGCTCAATCAACTTAATAATTTAATCTTGGAATACACGATGTAATTAATGAAATCATATATTACACGTGTAACTAAATTAAAACTAGTATCAATATAATATATAGTGTTGTATAAGATTTTGTGTGTGTTCATAATATATATACATTTTATGTTTTAAAAAGCCAAAATATTTTGATGACCTTCGTGGGGTTTTAATTTATAATTAATCACCGTTAAGTATCTTTCTGACATGACTTCTCTAAGTATCTTTGATCTCAAATTGATGTTGGTCTTAATTTAAATCCTAAATAGAACGTTCCCTAATTCTTCAAATATATTTAGGAATATTTGATTTGACATAGATTTTTCATAGAAGCATATAAGAAGAAGATTGACTATGAGAGTGATTAGATTGTTGATTTTTTATCAACAATGTGTTTGCAATCAAACTTGGATTGCTTCAGTCATTGTTAACAGAAAACAATTTAAAATGTTTTCGGGAGAAACATTGACACAACACGCAAACACTCCATCCTACCACAAATCTTTCAAAACTTAATGAAAGCCAAATGATTTCTTCTGGGAATTAAGATTCACCTGTGTAACATAAAAATAAATAAATGTTATTAAGGGTTATACACATTAATATAGAGTAATTCATCTTATATGTACTAACCTGATTAAAATCGCAAGAGAGATTGCGAAAAGTTGTTAGTCAGTGTGACTTCTTGTCCGGTGGGTGCGATTTAATGTTCATCGTATATTGTTGGTCTTCCATTATCTTGGCATAAATCTCTCCCCTTTCTTGGAAATATTTCATGAAAGCCCTAGGCAAGAACCTTGGTATCAAGAACCCAAAGAGATTCATGGAGAAATAAACCAGATTAGCCACAGCCAAAACCCTCCCAAACCAAAACCACGCCTTGTCCTGTTTAAGTAAACAATCACAAATTAAATTAAATTAAAATTGTGATTAACGAAATGAAATGTGGAACTAAACCCATTTTATAATTTCTAATAGAAATCAATTAATACAAGAGAAGAGAATGCAATAGTATGTTTCAAATTAATAAATGAAAAAACCTTAAGGTGTGCATTTGTGAGCAAGGTCTGGTTGAGCCACACATCGTGTATCCAATCAATATCAACGAAGATCCTCCTCACAGTGTACATTAATGGCACCATGGCCCTAACGGGTGGTGAGAACAGGGAAAAGCTACTTATCACATTCTCCGTTAGTATCTGGAACGAGAGCAAGAACAAGTGTGGGCTCGTGGCCCGCACCGCATGCTTGTCCCCTCTCCCAAACCCACCAAGCACATAGGCCAGGGGTAGGAATAGGCCCACCACGGTGCCCACAACCACGTACACTCGGAAAAGCCCACTTCCGTCAAAGATGGGGCCCGGCCCACATCCGTGTGACGGAAACGCGAAACGCGCGAGTAATATTAGGTAGATGGAGATGAGGCCCGAATAGGCTAGGTCCAGAAGAGGGACAAGACCACTGGCTGAGAAAACCAACACGAATGCCACTAACTGAAGCTCTATTACGCGCAATGAACCCATGAAGCTCATGCTTCCGTGTTCCCCAGGATCAGACACCGCTAATGAAACACCCGACATGGGAACTTAGGTTGCTTGTTGGGTTTGTCAGAGTCACTAGTTGTTATAGTTCCTTTTCTCCACACAAAAACAAATAACTACTCAAACTCAATTAAATGCAATTATACATAATTGTGGACATTAATAACGATAGAAAATTCAAGCAAAATGTGTAAGTACCACGCTACTAAAATGCATAACCCAGAAACCACTTAGAATAATTTAGAGAGTTCTGATAAGTATAGAGACAAATGCATATGCATAATACGGTACCTGCCAGCTGAACCAAAAGGGTGTGGCGGAAATGATGAGATGAAAGGTGGAATTAACACTTTATTTCCAAGGGATGCTGCACTGGCACGTTAAGAGGTAGAGATGTGGAGCATGAATGTGCTGACGTGTCAAATTGCATGGGTCACACTTGTTTCCTCGTACACGTGGCCATGTCCTTGGTCTACACTTGCACATTTAAGTTGACTTGACCGGTATATATATATATTACAATAACAGAAGATAGACAATTATTGCATTAAATTAAAATTAAAAACAATAATATTAAAATCCAATTAAAATTAAATTACGTATTTTATTTACTCCATCTTTTTCCTTATTATTAGACGTATTTTATAGTAATTCAATTCGCATTTTTCATATTTAATTTTGCTATTATATATCAATTTTTGACATAATAACCCTTCATACATCATTTATATTTAGTAGTAATTCAATTCAATTTTATTTTTCATATTTAAGTTAGTTATACTATGTCCTCTATACTGCAACTTTACTGCAATAATGGATATTATAGTCCTTCATATTATTATAATTTATTGCATTTTCCTATGTTTTTATTCCGTTTTCATTCCTTTTAATGAGTAAAATGAATAAAAAATTAATGTTTAATAGCTATGAAAAAACAAGAACTAAATTACTGACACGATGTCAAAATAAACAAAAAAATATACAATTATAACATAAAAGAAAAAAATTGAAAGAAAACACTGATTTAATTTCAATCCTTTATTATTTTTAATTCTTTGTTTGTAGTGATTCCAAAATTTCAAAATTTCTTCTCATTTGAAATATCTATATACGTCATATTATTATAATTTTTTTTTCTGAGGTAGAAGACGTTCATTTTCAGTTATATTCGTTCAATGTTATAACATCGAAAAGAGTATCAAGATTACCAAACCTAATCAGGCTTTGAAGAACATACATTCTGTATTAATTGATTATCTATGAATGTGTATGATGGGCATAGTATCAATTGGCTATCTAGGAAAAAAAAAAACCTCTGTAGGTGCTTCAATTGTGTTTCTCTCTTTTCTTTTCTTCTTGTATAATTAATAAGTAGCTGGGAGAAATGATTTAGTCATCTATATTAGTTGAAGAGACAGTGTTGAGGGAGATATGAAGAGGATTCCCACCTCCTTCTTCAAACAAAACCAAAACATTATCAGTATCTTTGAAGAATGCTCGAGGCACATGATACCTGTAGCCATGCAATAATAAGATAAGAACCATTATTACCAACGCCTAATCTGAGCCTTCTCATTTACTTTTTGCTCTTTAATATAATGGTTTTCACAAGAACATATATAAAGACCAGAAACCTGTATATGGATTATTTCGTCAGTGTTCTCAGTAGTAAGTACAGTACAACAGAAACCTTGATTAAACCCCACCGAAAGAAAACCATAATCTACAATGTCATGGTGTATATTTCATCAAATCTCACTTAAATCATTGATATTATTAAAGTGTAAGATTAGATATTCATATAATAACAAAAAAAATAAACTGTTGTAAAAAAAATAATCTAAAAAACTAACATAACATATGGATAAATCTTAAAAATAATATATTTTAAGAGAAAAATTATTCAAATAAAATTTATACGATTTATTTATTTAAATAAACTTTACTATTATATTTTATTTATAATTTTTTTTTATTTTTTCTCTTTCTTCGTTCATATTTTAATTTTTTTTTATTTTATGTTTTTTTTAATATATTTTGTTATTATCTGTATTTTCCTATTTATTTTACTAATTAAATTATTATATTAAAATTTAATAAAAATAAATTAAAATAAATATTTTAAATACTAAAAAAATATTAACTTAATAATAAATAATTTAAAATTATTTTATCATATAAATAATTACTCATTTAAAAAATATATAAATATAGTTTTATTTAATATTGTAATCTAGTTATGATAATTAGGTATTTAAAAAAATTATTAAAAATATTTTAAAGTAAATATATTTTTTAATAATTATAATATAAAAAATAATATTTTGAATGTATCATATAATATTTTTTTATATAATTGTAAAAATTTAATATATTATTTTTAATTAAAAAATAAAATAGAGTAAAAAATAAATTAAAAAAAAAACAAGAAATAAATAAAGAATAAAATCAAGAAAAATAATTATATTATGTCTGTTTATTTTTCTTTATTAAACTTTGTGTATAAATAATAAATAAGTCTAGATAAATACTTGGAAATACTTTATTTAAGTCAAATTTTTTTAAAATATATTATTTATAATATTGATTCCATAATATTATTTGATTGTTTTAAAATAAATAAAAAATTACTAAAAATATTTTAAAACTAAAAAAATGAATTAATATATTATATTTATTACAATAATTTTGCAATAGTAAGATATATTAACTAATAATAAAAATATACACTAATTTATTTTCCAATAGGTAAAGGGTTCGACTCACACAATTTGCAAGTTACAGTAAATCATTTTTAACATTTAATTAAAATGAAAGTTATTACTATTTTTTTTATGATACCACTTGATCAGATATTTACTATATTGATACCATGTCATGGTTTCTAAAAAATATACTCTAATATAAATTATATTGATAATAGTTATTTTGAAATTTATTTAGTACATCAGAAATATATTAATATTAACGTTAAATATAGATACATTTATGAATTAAAAAAATGGTGTTTTTATTTTTTATCTATTGATTAGTAAGTTATAATAATAAAAATAATTAATATAGCTTAAAAAGTAATAAATATATTAATTAAATATATAGTATTTTTAAAAACTAGTAACTATTTAGTAGCAGAGTAAAATGTTTATATAAAAACTATTTTTCATCCAACAATGAAATAAAATAAAATAAAAAAGTTGAAGAGAGAATAAGATATACAATAATAAAATAAACAAAAATGGCAATGATCAGTGAACTTACAGAGTTTGCGAAGGCTGGTCTTCAGAATTTGGGAACGAGATCCAATATCGACCAACACTTCGTCCATTCACCCAAACTTCCCCTTTCCTCATAGATTCAAGATTCAATGCAATACCGTCGTCACCCTTCGGGCTATCAAATGATGTCTACAATTTGATCATTATTGTTAACATTTTCTCCACCAATTTCCTTTCACGGACAACTTGTGTGGATATATTTCCTTTTTAGTAATTAAAGAGTTTATAAAAATTAATTAGTTTATTTTATTTTTAAATAATTGTGAAAAAAATATTCAGGCTAGTTTTTAGTCACGAAAAAACATTAAATGAACTCATCTTTGTTATAAACTAAAGTTAATTTATATATTTCATTTTTATTATTTTATAAAATATCTAATAAATGTTCACTTTATTTAAGTATTTTTAATTTTGATCACATAAATGTGTATGAAAAATCTTATTCCAACAAACACCTTAATTTGTTTCTTTCAATCCTTAAAAACTCGTGTTGCCCCTCTTAGATGTTAGAGTTACAATCTTCCAGGTAAAATGATGTTATGACTCATGGATCGCATAAATATATTTGCAACAATTACCTTGTACCAAATGAGTGTTTGATTGGAAGTATTCCCTAATGGACTCCAATGAACAGGATTGCTACTTGGTTCATATATCTGTAATTTCTCTCCCAATAATCCAACCTGTAACATAAAAGACACAAATGCCCTTGAGAACAACTAACAGTATGTAACTTCAGACGTTTACATATCTTCATGTTCACAAAAAGGCCTATTGTTCCAATAGAAAATCAAATAATATAAAACTCAAATGGAAAATGAAGACAAAACCTGATATCCCCATGTTGAATTGGTCAAATCGTAGGACTCCTCACTGCACTGAATTTTCACTGTTGTTAAGCCAGCAAATCTTCGTTCAAGAAATGCTCCTGAATCCTTTTGATTAACCAGCGTAATACAATTATTATTAGAAAAGACAATCTATTTTCCTTGATATTTAAAATAATTAAGGTTTTAATTTTAATTAAAGATGATAAAATAATGAGTAAAATAATCCCATTCTGTATAGTACATAGACATAGAAACATTACCGGGAGTCCAACCATCACGCTTAGTATAGATATATTGTTTGTCCCTTCATTTAGTTTTAGGGGGACCAGTGTGGTGAATGACTTGACATCGTGACTTCCATGTGCCCCTCCTAGCAGAATTAATCAACGTATACGAGATCACTTTCTATATAACCACAAATCTCTTGGATTTGAATTAATGTGTATAATTGGACGACATCATCACTTGTTTTTGTTTACTTCTCTTTTCATTGTTTGTATTTAAAAAGCACATAAACGAGACAATTTATCATTAAACAACCCATACCCTCTTCAACTCTTTTATTTTCCTTTAACTCTGCTTCAATTTTTATTACTCTTGTTCTCTGATCTTAGAAAAAACAAAACATTAAAGGATCAACTTTGAATAATACTTTTCATATATATATATATATATATATATATATATATATATATGATTCAATGCTTACCTAGGTATGTGTTATCCACAAAAACATGAGTAACATGAGCAGCAGACTGAACATTGAGTATTGGTTCACTACAAGGTAAATTATGTTCAAACCTGTTCACAAAATCAATTAGTTTCGTACCAACTCCCAAGTTTACGAATTAGATCATCAGTTATGTGATTAATAGATAATAAAGAATGTGTAATAAAATATTTGAATCCTTTTGTGAGAAACCAAATAAGGGGACGTACAACTAACCTTAGAGTATACCAAAGATAATCTGATTTGTCTTTGGTTACATTCATTTGCTCAAGTAATGTGTTTGATATTAAAGAAATCTGGTCAAAGTTAGGGATGACATCGTGAAATTGCTCCCATTTATCCGCAGAGCTGAAAGATTGAATTGGATGTATGATTCTTCTGTTGCTCTTTATATTTACCTATACATGATATAAACCAAACAGTAAAACAAAACAGCCAAATTAATCACCACATTTGTATATGGAATTATGTATAACATATATAATCATCAAAGATACACATTTTCATTAATTCTGGCAACGTGTTAACTTACAGTTGCAGTATTGAAAGTCACATTTTGACAATCTGTTAATATACTAATTGACTTTGGAGGCAATTTGTATGATCTGTTGCGAAATTCGACAGTAAACATATTCGAAGCATCATTGTTTACAAGAAAAGCAACACATTTTCCTTCTTCTCCATCTTCAAAAACATAACCCTGATTGAATTGAAACCAAGATTCAAATGCAGGGTTGGAATGCAATTAGTGGAAACAAACCTTATACGTTCTGAAGAGCTAATGAATAAACTCACCTCCTGTTGTTGACCTAAAGAGAAATTGCTCTTCTTTCCTTCCAATAAAGTAGTAGAACAAGACTTGATTGCTGCATGCAACTCCCTCAGATGTCCCCACTTGGGTTGTCTTAACAAACCTAATGCAAGAATTGAAAAAAATATATATAAAATATTAGAAGCACATATTCATCAAGCTAGGGGAATAATTTATGTTCTATACTTACCATATTCATCAAGTGGAGCTTGATCATAATAGGATGTTATAACATAAGCAGAGGTCGTTCTCCCGAAGTTAGTTCCACCATGGTACTATGTTTACAAAAAGCATGGTAACTTGGAGGTTATATTTAGAATATTAATAAACCTGGTGAAAATGTTAGTTTTATCTTAATTGGAGATAGCTTTCAAACATTTATGTTATTCAAGCAAAAGAGTTGAATGTATTGATACGGATACCATATAGTAATTGACGTAGCTTCCATTCATTCTTGCAATAAAAAGAGTGACATGGAATGCAATGTCTTCCGCAGACCTTATGTATGGCACACCACCATAAACTTGATAGCTTTAAAAGAGAGGAAATGGAGACAAACTATAATTAATTGAGACGATGAATTTAAGATAAATGAAAATTAATAATGAATGTAATCAATAATGATATGATATAGCAATGATATTTTTATTATTTAGCTCGGATTAGTGCATGTGTAGAATCAAGGAAGTGTACAAAGAAGTCCAATTCTCTGTCCACAATGCAGGCTTATTGGGGGAGTTTGGTCCAGTAAAAGTTTCTCCACATTTCATTCCGTTGCATGTATTAATCTGCATAAAAATGCATAGCTAAAAAGTAAACCAAAATAAAATGAAGCTCCCAACAAATTATTGAAAAATCTTTAGTAAAAGTATTACACAATTTAATCTTATCCTTAAATGTTAATAGAAAACATCCCTAGAAATAATTTTTCTTTCAAATTCATCTTTGTTATTGTATATATGAACATAATGTAGACTAGATCTATTTTAATGATAACATAAAGAAAGAGGAAAGTTACTTTTAAAACTTTTCTTAATTCATCTAAATTCATGAACTAACTTGAAACTAACATATACATTCTTCTGAGACTAAATACACCATTAAGTAAAAAATCTTCGAAGTCATAATTGGAGTTAAATAAATATTTAATGAAAATATCAGACTAAGAAGTTGAAGATTCATTAGTTTTTGTAAAATAAAAATGTAATTTTTTATTGAAAAATATTATGACAGATAATTAAATAATATTTTTAAATGTAATTTTAATAATTCTCTTGATTAAAAAAAATGTGGAAAACTTGTGACAATAAAAGGTTAGGCTGAATGAGACTAACCACTGGATCAGGAGCGTCAGTTTGCTTACACATAACCCATGGCACGCCAGTCTTAAGACCCACTGCCATTTTTGCAGCCCACTCAACATACAGTTGTCCTTCTTCTCCAAATCCTTTCTCCACATTTTGATATTCATTCTCAATCTTCATTTTTTTCAAGTTTACGATTTAATGAAACAAAATCAGGTTTCGGTACACTAAATTATTGGCTGAATAAATGGCTTTTCACAGGAATCTTACCTGCGACAGTATAATTGGGCCTCCTTGAGAAGCATATAAACCCTCTGATTGCATCATGCTCACTATTTTTGTCGTGAAGTTTTGCATGTAGAACTAGACATTGAAAATACACGTTAAAAAAAGGGGGAGAAAAGATGCTTTTACAATCAAATATCAAATGATTTTAATCGATTCCACCATTGTCGTTTACCAAATTTTTTATTTTTTTTTTTGAGTTTGAACTAATATCAATCGGTATAGTTACATTCTCAATTTAAAAAAAAAAATTATTTGGCCATTGATGAATATTAAAGCATAAGTTGATGGTGAAGAAAATAATATTGAATTAAACTGATTATTTTGAACATGAGAGAATGATTTATTTAACGATTTGTGAAAAATTGATTATTTAAAATATATTTTGTCGCGTAAAAATAATTTGGATTTGTATAGCTGCTTACAGAATTTTGTTTGCATCTATGTCATAAATTAGACAAGAAGTAGGACATGATCACAAACCAAATCGAAATTAAAATAAGGGGTAGGAAACGCATGATGGGTAAAGTGTTGCAGGTAGCATCAATTGTCCTGTGACGAAGGTCAGGTGGGCCGAGTCACAATTGAATCGTGGCGCTTGGGCTGTTAAAGTAAAAAGAGTTGCGCTCTGACTAATGGCTATAGCTTTTGGCCTAGTGGTAAGCGCTCGATCCTAACAATTGGTATCAGAGCCAAGGTCACGAGTTCGATTCCTGGTGGGCAATTGTTAAGGGGGAGATTGTTGCAGGTTGCACAATTGTCCCGTGGCGCAGGCCAGTGGGCCAAGTCACAATCGGTGGCGTAGGCTAGATGGGCCAAGTCACAATCCAAGTGGGATTCTCGTAGGACAATTGCTGAGGGAGATTGTTGCAGGTAGCATCAATTGTCCCGTGACGAAGGTCAAGTGGCCGAGTCACAATTGAATCGTGGCGCTTGGGCTGTTAAAGTAAAAAGAGTTGCGCTCTGACTAATGGCTATAGCTTTTGGCCTAGTGATAAGCGCTCGATCCTAACATAAAGGTGTAAAAATGGTTGTCTAGTCTGGCAAGTCAAAGTGTGAAGAACAGATTGGATCGAAATTCTTTCAATTTTTTATGAGCTAATTTTGTTCCTTTGATCTGTTCCATCACACTACACTAAATTATCCCACTTTGATTATTTTATAAATTAATATAATTTATAAAAAATAAAGTTAAATAGGTTCAGTAATTTGAGTCAACAAGCGGGGCAAATTAAAAAGTTCTACCATTGAGCTGGGGACTTTTATATTTGGAACGATAGTGTATATCCTGTTATAAATCCTATTTTTTATTAAATAAAATATAAAATAGGAGGGTAGGTAGAAAAATGTTGTAAAGAAATAGAAAATTTTGAAATATAATTTTATACTTACCTTGAATGGCTCGTTGTCAGTTCTGTATACAATGCCAGGAACATCATGTAACCAAAATGGGAATCCACTGCAAGTAAATCACAATTAATGAGTTCAATTAATTTAGATGAAGTGGAATTGTTTATATGATAAATAATCAAGAAAGCCAACAAAAAGCTTAACAGTCACATTCAGAGAAAAGGTCCACCATATATAACCACGTCCAAAACAGTCACACACAATCAAATCATGTATGACTGTATAAATATGCCGCAGAACCATCAATTTCCGTAATCTTTATTTTCTTGCTGTGACACTGCTTACTTCAAATTGTTTCTAAACACACAGTAGTCATATTCTCTTCTTATATGTGTCTAATATGTAAAATAATAAATAATACCAAAATAAATATTAATGAAAAGAGTGCAAATAGAAGAAAAAGTACCCACCCATAAGCCCATTCACTTTCAATATAAGGCCCAATCCTGAGGCACACGTACAGCCCTTGAAATTGGACTTCCTTTATGAATCTCACCAAGTCATATCTCCCACTGAAATCATACTGCCGTCCGCATTTACGACGTAATTACTTTACATAAATACCATATTCATCGTGCAAGTTGTATGTGACTATGTGTGTTGTCGTTCTCTTTAAATTTTACAAGGAAAGAGAAAATTCACCGAATATATACAATGACAGATGTGAAGAACATAAAAACCTGTCCGATTTGGGGCTCATGTAGATTCCAAAACACGTAAGTCTGAATCACGTCGAGACCCCCTTCTTTTGCTTTTGCTATTAACTCTGGCCACATCTGCAAAAAGGGTTTTGTCAAAATTCTTCACTGTCTTCTCTTTTTTGTCTTTCTCTGCCATTCTTTTCTGGCTACTCGTGCACAACAACTCATCCATGGCACCATGTTCATGTATTAAATAATTCTAACGATCAAACCTTCCAACCTGGTTCCTGTTGTCTTAGAAAACCAATTTCAAAGAGAGTTTACGTTTCTATTTCTTAAGAATCCATTGTTTTGACTCATTTCTACACTCTGTCATGTTAGGCTCAATAATTATAAGTACTTGGTAAACTGATGAAACCACGAATAACACAGTTTGTCTCGAAGCTATTCAAACAATATTATTTCCTAATATCATTTATTAATAGTGTCTTCATTCAAAATCAAATTGAAAGTTCACGAATTTTGAAGTCTTTTTACTTCCCATTGCATAATTATGCCTAAATATTCGGGCAACGGATCCTTTTTCTTCTCAAATAATTATTAAAGTCAGCCAGTAAAGCAATATTGGAAGAAAGTGATTAAAACCAAAATTTAAGTAAGAAGATGTAACTTCAATTATAATAGAAGATATGAATAACGGTCAGAGTTGTAACAGTGGATGATAATATAGAAGATAGAGGAAAAGGAATCAAAATAAAAAAGAGAATAAAATGTTCTAAATATGTACCCAAAGAATGTTTTATTATTTTTTATTAAAAAAATATTTAATACAATGTAAATTAATAAATATTCTACACTTAGGTTGAGTGGTTTTATACTAGTTTTTTTTTTTTTTTTATCAAATGTGGTTTATATTATTTACGTTTTTTAATTTAATCTTTTTAACATTTAAAAGAAAAAATAGTGATAAAATTCTCTTTATCTTTCTTCCCCTGAATTCAATACCTTCTATTTAATTTACGTTTATGTAACTCATAGAATACAGCTAGACTTTGTTTTTAGCACATGCCAACTACTATATAAATTTCGAGACAAAGTTTCTGAAAATGTGGCATTGGAATCAGCGTAAAGAATCGACGTAAATCAAGAACCAAACAAAGCACATCATAGTTAAATACAGTAGTTTAAGGTCTTCATGAAAAATCAAACCTACCTTAATTAATGACCAAATATGAAGTCTTTGCTTCACAACCTGAACTATATTATTGGACTCATGAAACCAGCAAAAGTCTGAATTCTGATATGTACCCAACACCAATCTACTAAGTATCTTGTAAGAAAAGCAATATAAAAACATTAATACCTATTTATGTTCAACTAACCCCTTGTGCTTTTCATTACATTGTATAAATGTGTGTTTGTTTTAGCATCATATTAAGCAAACTATTATATCTTAAAACATGTTTCTGGGTTGTTTGAAGCGATTTTGATGATGAATGTGGTTCTTAGACACGAATCCAAAACCCTCTTAAAGTTTTTACAGTTAAGTTCAGTTCTTGCTGCTCTATATCACTATCATTCTTCTAAGGTGAAGAAGATGAATGAATTGCATGAGAGTGAGATTAAATGAAATACGACATTCATTTCATTTGATGAAATGACAATGAAAGGCACTGTAGAATTACCTGAGGAGTGCTGCGAGGATAGTGAATGGAACCTGAAAAAAGTATTTTCCTGTACCCATCGATGATAAGGGATCTTCCATCATATGTGACCTTTGTTTCAACACCATTACCCCCCATTGTTGGTGCCAAAGACACCAGAAGTAGAATCACCACTGCCACCCAATTTTCCATCTCCAATGATCAACTGTTCTATCAGAGGCTTGCTTTTGCAGTTGCACCTCTCTTTCTCTGAACCTGTCAAGGAATGTGTATTATTATATTGCTTATATACAACAAATTATGTTACAACTTCAAAACCTTTTATGGGGTGTCACTGTCAGTTCCACCAAGAGAGTATGACTTTAAGAAATTAATGAGACACCCAAATAATGTAGTATATATATATATACATGCCAATAATGAAATGACAGGGAGAGATACAGCAACTACTCTTTATGCACTCCTTGAAGAGACTAACGGGAAACGTATGAAATTAACAACCGAATAATGGAATAAAAAGCCGTTGATTTTATTTTTTTTCAATTTACAAGAATACGCCTCGAAAATAAATGAAAATAGAGAAGGAAAAAAAAAGAGTCCACCAATTCTATTGACGGTAGAAGTGAACTAAATAATATATTATTAATAAATAATAAATAAATATAAAACATAATATATTATTAATAATTAATAAATAAATATGAAAATATAAAAAAATATATAAATATAAAAAATTAAAATTATAAATATATAAGTAAGTATATTTATTAATTATTAAGTTTTATGAATCAATATTAAATAAGTTATATAAAATTTTGAAAGAATGAAAATTAAATTTGTATCTCTGGATCAAATTGTCCTTATTTTGAATTTAATGGAAAAAAATATGGATACGGGATCAAGTTTTTCTCATATTCTAGGAAAACAAAAATGAAAATAAGTATGGAAATCTCATCTTATATTCATTTTCGTTCTAATTTTATATTAAAATTTAATTATTAAAATATTAATTTTTTAAAAATATTTTATTTATTTTCTAATATTATATATAACGTCATTTCTTTTTATATTTTATACTATTTTTTTATCGTTTTTTATTATTTTGTTTTTTAAATCTCTTAAGAGCTTCTTCAAAATAAGTTCTTATTTACCAAGAATTGCTTAAAAATAAAAATAAATATTTTATTATACAAATTTATATATGAGTTGCTTAGACAAATAATTTTTTATTTTATTTTAAACAACTTTCTCTAATTATAAGTAAATCATGTATAATATCTATAATAAGATATTGTTTCATTTCTGGTACCTTTATTTCTTCACGTTTCTTTAATATTTTCAATTAATTTGTTTTTTCCTATCTCTTCAATCAAACATAAAGTTAAATTTATTCTTCTTTATCATTTTCTAAATATTTTACATTAATTTTAATAACAACTAATATTATTTTATTTATAATTTATCCTTATTAGGTTTTATTACGTTGTATGTTTTATTATTTCTATTTATCATATATTAAATTTTATATTCATAAAATAATTATATTTTAAAAAATTAAAAAATAATTAATAATTAAAATTTTTATTATTTTAAATTAATTAAATAAAAAACAACTTATTAAATATTTTTGTATAGATTATATATTTCATATTTATTAACATTCTAAAATAATAACTCAAAATAATTAACTTTTGAATAAAGTATTATAGTATATAACAAAATAAATAATAATAATAATAATAATAATAATATTACAAGTATTCTATATTTATATAAAAAAATCACTAATTATTTATTTTATATAAATATAATAAATTAAAAAAATATTTAATTAATAATAATTATTAAAAATTATAAAATTATAAATATTATTTATGTAAAAAAATTGAAACTAATTTATTATAAATACAATTAATTTTAAAAAAATTAGAACGGATGAAAAAACTTGAAACCTAACTAATATTAGAATAAAAACTTAATTTTTAACCTTAATAAAAATCGGAAATAGGAACGACGTTAAAAAATTAACATGTCTCATAACCCACTCAGTTTCCAAAAAAGTTATCCATATGAGACACAAATTTTTTAGGTTGAAAAACCTTTCAAAGGATATAAACCGCAAGTAATCTAGAACAAAGAAGATTGATTATTATAATTAATAAAAGAGTAAATGAGAGTGATGTTAGACCATACATTTAGGGATGGAAATTAAACCGTACCCGTTGGGACCGACCGCACCCGCTCCGAGTTTGACGGGAAAAACTCGAGTTGACTGGAGGCGGGGGCGGGTTCGGGTTTTCTCCGCTTTAAAAAGTCGGGGACGGGGATGGGTAATGCAATCCCCACCCCGACCCCGCCTGCCCGACTTTATATTTAAATTTAAATTTTAAAATATTAATATTTTAAAAGTATTTTCTTTTCTTTTTCTATTACATATAAGGTCATTTTTTTATATTTTACCAATTTTTATTTTTCTTCTACCTATTTTTTAATTTTTTTGTCTTTTTTAATCTTTTGTATCAATTAATTTATTACATTATTCTCTCTTATACCTTGCAGTTTTTCATATTTTCTTAATCTTTCTCATCAATTTGTTTTTTTTTCAATCTTTTCAATCAATTTGATGAACACAGTTAATTTTTTTATTCTTTATCTTTTTCTAAATATTTTACATAAATATTAATAGTAACTAATATTATTTTATTTATAATTTATATTTATTAGGTTTTATTATGTCATTTGTTTATCTTATTATTCTTATTTATCATATATCAAATTTTATCTTAATAAAATAATTGTATTTTAAAAGATTAAAGGAATTGATAATTTAAACTTTTATTACTTTGAACTAATTGAATAATAATTAACTTATTAAATATTTCATTATAAACTATATATTTCATATTTTTAAATGACAACTTAAAAATGAATTAACTTTATATATATATATATATATATATATATATATATATATATATATATATATATATATATATATATATATAATCAAATGTTTGAATACAAGTATTATAATAATAATAATGATAATGTTATAAGTATTCAAATATTTGAATACAATATTATAATAATAATAATAATATTATAAATAAAAATGATTAAATATTTCTTTACATACATATTTTCATATAAATATAATAAATTAAAATGTATATTTAATTAATAATTATTATAAATTATAAAATTATAAATATTTATTTATATATAAAAAATAGATAATAAAATTATTTTATTATAAATGTAATTATCTTTCCAAAAATAATATAGATCGGGGACGGGACGGCGCGGGGATGGGGAACCCGAAACCCAGTACAAACGGGAATGGGGACTTAATTTCTAACCCCGGAGGGGATTGGGGGCGAGGACGAGGATGATTAAAAAAATCGGGGGCGGGGATCGAGGAGTCAAAACCCGCCTCCGCCCCGCCGCCATATAATCCGTCAATCAAACCCAACCAGCAATATTTACAAATGAGAAAAAAAAAAGAAAAACCTTAAAATTAAAATTATTATTGGGAATAACCTTTCTCCTTTATAGACTTTTACGGGATAATCCAACCGTTGAAAATGAAGAGTTACTTATTCCGAATTTATTGTCCAAATATCAGTCTAATACGATGGTAAACAAATTTTTAGTTGAAATTAGAAAAATACACTCTAATCATTATAAGAAAATCACAATTATTTTTCTTATACCTAGTTTGATTCATTTTTCACTTAAAATAAATGAGAGAAATGGACTTTATATATTTAGGCCCATTTTTCACATGGGTTAGTAGCCCAACCAAATTTCCAACCAACTTAGTAAATATTTTTTATCACAATTACATTGATTCAAAGTTAAAAGTTCGAATTAAAGTTGAATCATGATTAAATATTTTAAATAATATAATAATATACTAAGTAGAAAATAAGTTTGTTAGTAGCTACAAGTATTTTACAAGAAAAAGAAAGTAAGTACGGTTAAAGATTGTCATCATTGTTGGAAGTTGTAATGAAGGTCACATACGTAAAACATAATAAAAATTGAATGACTGAAAATTGTGACACTAGGATAAAAATGTAGGAAAACAACTATTGTTTAGGGCTGATGCGAGTCATGAGGTAAAGAAGCAAATTTTTTTAAAATGATTTCCCTTTAAAAATAATTTAAATATTAAGTTTAAAAAAAATTTCAAAAAATCGGTAGACCAATTAACCACTCGATTTCACCAATGATGATATTTTTTTTATTTGACTTGTATAATTTTGATCTTATTCAAGGTCTTGAAACACTGAACTTATTTATTTATGATGCAAGTTTTAGTTGAATTTATTTTGCATATAATAAGAATAGCAATCCCATTATTTTGTAAATATTTTCTTGAATAGAATCATATTCTTTCTAAGACTCTATGTAATGTTTTAATAATGACAATGAATTTTATCTAATAGACTAAGTTACGTACCTTTCTAGCTTAAATTGCCAAATCCCATCTCCCTTTGTAAATTAATCACATTGTTCAAATTAGGCTTCATCGAATTTGTAACCGTATTTGAATTTAAGTAATTTAATAATTTATTCTTATTAACTCCAAAATAAAGTTTCATGTAAAAAAATATCATCATATACTTTAAAATCTATTTCATAACATTTCAATACTCTTTATCTAAATTTAACAAAAATATATTAATTGAAACAACAAAATGTATTATAGTTGATCTTATACAATATATATATATATATATATATATATATATATATATATATATATATATATATATATATATATATATAAAAGAACTTGTTGCATCTCATATTTATTTTGTGGGCTTTGTTTGGAACTTAATTTAAAATGAGTAGGAAGAAGATTTTTCATGGTTTTGACATTTTTTTATGTGAAATCTCTGGATCACTCTTTTAATATAACATTCTTGTGTCAATCAAAGTTTGTGCTCCTTTTGTCACTCATATTCTTATATGAAGAATTTATTAAGTAACTCTTATTTCCTTCATGAAAAAACAACTCACCTAATTGTTTCCTTAATCGATCAATCGTAAAAATATAATAAGCATTGCATCAATATAACAAAATAATTAATTTATTATCTGAAAAATTTCTAATAGAGACATAATGATTA